GAATTGTTTCGTGTTGTGTTTTGTGAGCTATGAACTCTTGAGAGTAGTTATCATTGCTGGAGTGCTTATAGTATGTTTTCGATAGTATTTCAGCAATTTCATCGCTGTTAGTGTGAATTATCGATTCATCTTTTATTGCTTTAATTTTTTGAAAACTATTTGCGCCTGAGATACTTTTTATCTTTTTCCAAATTGTTGATATTGGTGTTCTTGTATTCATTCCTTCAACAAAATTTTGCCACGACTTTTTCTGATTTCTGTTTGTTGTAAGTCTTGCTCTGGCCTGCTTCTGTCTTAAGTCACGTAGGTTTTCAGTCGTTTTGTGTCTTTTGTACTTATTTAGAGCTGATTTACTTTCTTTGAGTGCTGTCTCGCATTCTTGGTTCCACCAAGGAACTGGATTTTTCTTTTTGACGGTTTTTGTTTTCCCAATGTGTTGTTGTGCTGCTTTGGTGATTAAGGTATTAAACTTTTCTATTATTATGTTTATATTTTCGGTTAAATCGATGTTGTTAATATTGTTGTCTATATATTGCGAGTAATCAGTCCAGTTGGCCTCTTTTAATCTCCATTTATTTGGTGGTATCGTATCACTTCTATCATTTCTTGAGTCTGAGATGACAATAGGAAAATGATCGCTATTATATAAGTCATCAGCAGTGGTCCAATTCAGATGCGTCAGAAGGCTCGGCGAGCATGCGCTTAAGTCGATGGTAGAAAATCTCCCTGAAGCAGCATCAAACCTTGTGCTGCTTCCATCGTTAAGTAAGGCTAGGTTGTTCGTCTCAAGTGCTTCCTTGAATAATTCTCCCCTAGGATCATTTTTAAAAGAGCCCCACGAGATGCTGTGGGCGTTGAAGTCTCCTAATATTATTCTAGGGCTGGGTATTTGTTCTAACAGAGCTTGGAATTCGGCAGGTTCCAAATGGTAGTCTGGTGGGATGTAAATGTTACATATGTTGAGTACATCTTTGAGGTCTATAGATATAGCTATAGCTTCAAGGTTTGTATTCAATGGAATTGGTCGGACAGGTATCTCCCTTTTGACGTATATTGAGACTCCACCGCTTGCTGTGGGTCTTTGCCTGTTTTTGAAAAATCCTGCATAGTTTTTGGGTGAGTGTGATTTTGTGTCGTGGAAATGCGTTTCCTGGAGGCAAACGACATCTGGTGTATAATCAGCTATCAGTTTTTTTAACATGTTTAAATGGACATAGTATCCATTTAAGTTCCATTGCAATATTGACATGATTCTTATTTTAGTAAAAAGATGTGTCTATTGAGGAAGTATCGCTAAGAGAGTCATTGAGACTTTTGTCGATGATGCGTTCCAGTTTCTTCCGAAGTCTGGTGCAGCGGTTTTTTAGCGTTCTGTCATCTATATGAGAATATATTAGTAGTAACATTTCTGTAAGTCCCTTGATATCATCTGTAAAGTCGTTTATGATATGTGTTATGTCTTGTACCCCATGTGTGTTTTCCAGTAAACTCTTGAGCTGGTCACAATTTAACGCGAGTGGTGGGGTATGGCTTTCTATAAATGCTTTAACTGGAGATAAAGCATCGTCTTGGATGATCGACGGTCCAGTTTCCGACTTATGCTTTTTGGTGTTAATGTTTCTTGGAATAGTGAACGTAGGACTGTTGGGTGTATTTGCTGCTGGAGGTGTTAAAATATTTGAAATGGGTCTTTTGTTGGGTGCTTTATCTATTATATTTGTCTGGCTGCTACTGAATGTTACGCTTCGTGGTTCATGTGAGGTGTTGGATGTCTGTACTGGTATTTCCTTGTTGCTTGGTTGAGATGAAGGGAGAAAAACTGTTGTTTTGCTATGATTCTGTTCTATCCTTTGAGTGGTTTCGGTGGCTGAAATTTCTGGCTGACTATATTGTGTGTTGCTGTTATTTGTCAGTGGTGTGTTGTTTACAGAAGGACAGTGTGAAGCAATATGACCAGAAAGTTTACATTTAAAACATTTCTGACTGTCTAGCGATAAGAAGATGCGATATGATAGACTATCGTGAGTGATTTCGATGGACTCAGGTATTTGGTTAGATTCTAGAGGTGTAATATATACCTGCCTCCTGAAGCTTAATATGTGATTGTATTCTGGTACTGTTGCTCCGATTCTCAAAAATGTTATGGAAGATATTAATTTCAAGCCTAGATCTTGTAGTTTTTCCTTTAAAACTGCGTGTGGTATTGTTGGGCAAACGTTCGATAGCACTAACCTGTCCGATGGTGAAATTAATTTACGGGCCTTAATTTTTTCTCCTTGTATTACAATTTCCCCTGGGTTCTCTACGAATTTATTTACTAATTCCTTGCTGGAGAGGTATATGCAAATTCTGTTATTGGAAATTCTAGAGCAAAACAAAATGTTCTTCGGGTCAATCATTGGTCCTAATTGGAGCAAGTAATCTTGTATTCTTGCTCCGTCTATGGAATTGAAAACTATAGCTTGTTCTTGAGTTGGATGCTTATATGTAGTTAGAATTGTGGAATAGTGTGTGGGTTGGTTAATCGGTGTTGATGTCATTGTTGCTAAGGTTTTATATCAGTATGGAAAAATATCATTTCTGAATACGGACCTGTTCTTTCGAGGTCCAAATTGTGGACGCGTTTTTCCCGAACGCTTGAGATTGGAATGTTGAGTATTTGATCCACTGATTTACTATGTTCTCGGTATATAGCACAATATTTCCTACTCACAATGCGTCCTGGTTCGTGATTTGCACTATATGGTAGCAAGTCGAAAATTGTTTGTGTTATGGTTCACTTTTAATACGGTAAATTCACGAGCTCACTATCAGATAGACTAACTGACTCGGTTGCAGGACCGAACTCCATTTTTGGATTTGAAGAGGGCATTTGAAACGATTGATAGAGATATTTTGTTAGGTAAATTAAAGGCATATGGTATAACAGGAAGTGTTTTAGATTGGTTTAGAAATTATTTGTCTAAAAGGATGCAAGTTACAAAAGTTAATGACACTCTTTCATCAAAAATTGAAAATACGTTGGGTGTTCCACAGGGCAGTATCCTGGGACCACTTCTTTTTATTTTATACATAAATGATTTACCTGCCATAGTCAAAAAATGCAAAATTCAAATTTTCGCCGATGACACTATGATTTATATAAATACTAAAAATATTCAGTCTGGTATCTCTTATATAAATGAAGACTTGAAGCTTGTCTCAAAATGGTTAGCATCTAACAGACTAAAATTAAATGCAAGTAAAACGAAAGCCTTGTTAATCGGAAAAAAAACAATGTACAAATGTTCAACTCAATATTGATGGTGAAGATATTGAATTCGTAGAAAATTTTAAATACCTGGGAGTTTTTGTTAACTCTCGATTAATTTTTGATATTCATTATGAAAAAGTTATAAATAAGATTAGTAGTAAAGTGGGCTATTTATCGAGAGTTTCTGGATGTCTGAGTTCATATAGCAGAAAAATTATCTATAATACCATCATTCTTCCAAATTTCTTGTACTGTTCGACTATTCTATATTTAGCAAATAATTCCATTTTTGAAAGACTGCAAATTTTACAAAATAAGTGCATGAGAATAATACTAAATAAAGATAAATATACTCCAATTAGGCAAATGCTTAGCAAATTAAAATGGCTCAATGTAAAAAAAAATTTTATCAAATATCTTGTAATGATATTCATTTATAAAGTAAAAAATAATATATTTCCATCAAGTCTAACCAATTTAACATCATCAAATGTCGACCATCATTTACATAATACCAGAAATAAAGATGACTTCCATTTAATGACCAAAAAGTATAACATATGCTACAAATCTGTATTCCATCAAGGGTTGATTGAATATAATAAATTATACTCGGAGATAAAAGACCAGAAAACTTTGACAAAATTTAAAGTAAAATTGAGAAATCACTTGTTAAATCTACAATTATAGGTTGCCCAGCATTTACATCATACACCATATGGCTTGAATTTACTAGTTCTAAGTTGTTTACAATTGTTCTGTTTATATAGCCAAAAGTGCTAAATAAATCTGTCTACTACTACTACTACTTGTTCAGCTTTCTTTTTCTTTTCATATTAATGAAATTAATTTAACGTTTTTTTAAATAAATATAGTAAAAATATCCCCAATTTAAAATATATCAAAGATTGAAATTAGAAGGCTATAATTTCCCAGTACACCAGGGGGTCCAATACTTTTGATGATGTGTGTAGTTGCGTGAAATTATCGTCGCATCACCAAGTGCCAAAACCTGCATTTTGCCTCGTTTTTCGGCCATAACATTTTTGCTATTAGTCGGATCATTTTACGTGCGGTCTCACTTTGTAGCTCTCATAAATACCTAAAAATCTTATATGAAAAGTTTTTTCGTTCCTGTCAACACTTTCGATGGAATCCCAAAAAACACGTTTTCTCATTTTTTGTTGTCGAATAAAAAGCTTTCCCACAAACATTGGTGTACCCATTTTATGCGTCCATGTTTCCTTGAACAACTTACAATTATTTCAGCGAAATTTGATAATATGAATAGACTATAAAGGAAATCTATTAGTGTAGTAAGCATTTGGTCTACATGATTGATAAAATCTAATTTATAATCAATGGTTAGTCCAAAAAATTTGATAGTGTCTCTTTTGTGTACCAATTCATTATTTAAATTGCTTGAATCAAGGACACATTTAAATGTCATATATGTATTCTGTCTTCTCAACATTGAAGTTAAGTAATTGTCATCACTCCATTTTTGTATTGTGGTTAACAAAAAGTATGAATTATGTTCAAATTGATTAAATCTGGATATATACTAAAAATAACGTCGGACCTAGTACTGATGCTTGAGGTGTTTCTAATTAATTTATTTGAAATATACATAAACCACTTTTACAATTGGTATATTTTTTTAAATTTGCACAGTCAAAAGCTTTGAAAAAGTCGCAAAAGAGAGAAATATAAATTTGAATTTGAGTACATAACTTCCTTTTTCTAGTTACATGATGATTGCTCCGACAATTCAACAGACCCGTTGCAAAGTGTGGCTCCGGAAACACCTCCCGCCGAGCGTAGCGATGTCTGATGTGACCAGCATGTTCACGGCATTATGCATCATGGGTCCCTTCACCAGAACGTTGTTATCAGAGTTGACTGATACGGATCTCCATCCTAGGAACTTCCCATTTTTCACGTTTAAAATGCTGGACGTCGGTTTGGCCAACGGGATTAGGACAATGAATTTGACCCATACTGGAGAGCTGGGATACGTACTCTACATCCCCAATGAGGTAATTGGTTAATGCACCTAAGACTGTTCAATCTTCAGAAAAATGTTTCATTGTCTGGGCATCCACCTTCGGGAACTTTACAAGTCAAGGAAAAATAAAAAAAAATGGGTCAAGTAGGTTGGCTTTACATTTCCCATGTCTTCATCAACAGCTTGTAATACATTTTTCCATGTAGTGAAATGGCATAAAAAGACGTATTTTTTGTGAGAGTCATTAGAGCACTATTTGAGCTTTTCATGAAGAAAATTTCGACAGATTGCAGCAATGGTAGCGTCATTTCTTTGGTGTAAAACTGGTTCTCAACAATGTTTGATACCTGATATAGTTCTTGATACGTACTTATATACTATACAGGGTGTTCCTTAATGATATGAGAATATTTAAGGGTGTGAATCTACATGAAAAATTAATGTTAGTTTGCTTTATAAACTATGGTCCAAAAATGTTTCCTTACAAAAAACTCGGGGTGTTGAAGTTTTAGGAAAAAATGGAAATTAATTAATATTTTCAGAACCGCTTCAGATATTACACTGATATTCAGTACGTAGTGAAAGTTAATAAAGTCGCATATTTTTCAATGCAAAAATAATTTTTAGCTTTAACAGTGGCGTGCGTACGGGCATTGACTTCGATATTTTTTAAGAAAAAAATGGTACGCCAATGGTTTTTTGCCAAGTAAATTATTTTTGAATTCCCCGTTCAACTTAAAACAAATGATCTCTCTTGAATTGTTTTCCTTCGATGCGCCATTTTTGAGTAAAAAAATAAAAACCGATCTATTGTCTAATTTGCAAAATTATTATTAACTTAATTGGAAAAATTAAACACATTAGGGGTAATGAATAACAACAACTGACAACATAAACATAACATTAAAAACAACGAAACGATTACAAAAATTGTTGAAAATGTCACCCTTCACTTAGTATGCGTGCTTCCGCCCTCCTTCTCATGGAATTGCGCACTCGTTGAAATATCTCTGTAGTGTTTTTTATTCTATCACAAGCTGAAACAATTATTTCTCTTAATTCCTCTACAGTGTTAATGGGACTTGTGTACACTAGTGTCTTAAGATAGCCGCACAAAAGGAAGTCTAAACTGTAGAGGTCTGGGGACCTTAGTGGCCATTCTTGGGGCCCACCGCGGCCAATCCAACGATTTGGATAAACAGTTTGTAAATAATTACGAACCGCTACACTGAAATACGCTGGTGCACCATCATGCATGTACCACATATTCTTATTAATAACGGAACATCATCAAGCAGCAAAGGCAACTATTGTTCAAGAAAATTGGGATAAGTCTGTCCGTTAAGTCGTCCCGGCAAGAAGAATGGGCCAATAAAGTGGTTGCCAATAATTCCTGCCCATACGTTAACCTAATATTGGTGTTGGAAATGGGTTTCGGTTACGGCATAGGGATTTTCTTCTGTCCACAAATGATTATTGTGGAAATTCTGAATGGCATTTCGAGAAAAATTAGCTTCATCCGTGAGCAGAATCATTGATTCAAATTGCGGATTTTCTGTAATTTTTTGAAGATACCACTGACATAAAGTCACACGCCTTGGAAAATCAATTCGAAGTAATGCCTGTACTCTTAAAATATGGTAAGGATATAACAAAAAATCCACTAAGATTCTCCAAACAATTTGATGGCAAATATTTAAGTGTCTAGCGATCTTCCTCGTACTCGTTTCAGGATGTTCTTCGACTTCGTGCAGCACTGCTTCTTCAATTTCAGGTGTTCTCACACTTAAGAGGTCTATCTTCAGATGTTCCTTTTCGGACAGAATCAGTTTCAACAAGACGACGATGAATATTAGAAAAGGTGCGACTATCTGGCAAAGCACGATCGGGATATCTCTGGTGATAAATCCGTCTCTCTTCACCATTACCGTCGGCAAGGCCATATACGTAATGCTATTTCTGCATTTGAATAATTCACCCTTATTAACACGATTGTAAAAACTAAATAATGAAAAAGATGTCACAGAGAACAGATTTGAATAACAGAGACTTGTCAGATGTCAAAAGCCAGTGACATATTCCAGAGCAACTAGATATTTATTGCTAAATAGCACTCTTCAATTATTACATTAATTTGCTCGGACAATAGAACGGTTTTTATTTTTTTTTTATTCAAAAATGGCGCATCGAAAGAAAACAATTCAAGAGAGATTATTTGTTTTAAATTGAACGGAGAATTCAAAAATAATTTTTACCTGGAAAAAACCAATGACGTACCATTTTTTTCTTAAAGAATGTCGAAGTCAATACCCGTACGCACGCCACTGTTAAGGCTAAACATTATTTTTGTATTGAAAAATATGCAACTTTATTAACTTTCACTACGTACTAAATATCAGTGAAATATTTGAAGCGGTTCTGAAAATATTAATTAATTTCCATTTTTTTCCTAAACCTTCAACACCCCGGAAGGGAACATTTTTGGACCATAGTTTAAAAAGCAAACTAACATTAATTTTTCATGTAGATTCACACCCTTGAATAATCGCATATCATTAAGGAACACGTAATGCCCGTACCTGCTTTTTCTCGCCACAAATCTACCAGCTCTGCCCTAACTCAAGGTCGAGAGGGTCAGCGATGCTGTCATACACAGATAGGGGTTTCTGCACAAAAGAAGGAGACGCGCGACCGAGATAAAATTCGTGTTTGTAAATAGAATTACGGGGGTGGCAGAGATAAGACTCATTAGACCGAAAAGACATTATTAATTAGGCAAATTTAGAAAAAGTGGTCAGGGAAAGTCAAAGAACTTTGTTTGAGATTTACAGTGGTCACCCTGACATTTACGTACATATTTGTCTTTGCAGTTTGCATTGCATGTCTACTCTAGCCTCATAAGTGCTGGTGAGAAATATGGTATCACGCACGCAGGTCATTATGCTACAAGGTCATTGAGAGTAGAGAAGTTTTACGCCTTTTGGGGTCAAGATCTGGATACATTGACAACTCCTTTGGAATGTGGCAGGGTTTGGCGAGTGAAGTTTGACGTAAGTATCTTCTTTAACTGACATATTAGACGTGTCGGCACATCGTTAAATGTATGTGGTCAGTATCATCTTGCAAAGCTAGGATTAGGATTCCCGGCATGGGGATCTCAATACCTGTGGGAGATACAGCTCAAGTTAAATTAGAAAAAAGCTGCATTGTCTGGGGCGTATTTACACCTGTAAAAATTTCATGGCTTACTGAGGTATTTGGAAAAAACTTGAACTTTTTCATTGGTACTTGTTATGCACTTCATGATGATGTTTTTTTGCCCGACGAAAAAAGTATGATAGTATAGCGTTTTTCTGGGTTCTTTTGGATGTGAGTTAAAACACTTGATTCCACAAGAAGAAATGAACATTTATGCACACCACTATTTATGTCTGACTACTTATTTACGAATTAAATTGGCGCGATATTCACCTCAACTTTTTCTCTCTGCCAGCCGTGGGCTTATATATTCCGCATCGCAGGTACTCGTTAATTCGATAAAGTTTCTGTACGCGACATAGCGGACCACTCCAGAACCTTCGGGGTCAGTCTCGCACCTCGCTTCGATTCATTCTTGTTTCAATAGCATCTTTTTTTTATATACTTCAACTACCACGTAGGCCTAAGGCCTAAGCACCCATTGGGTACCGTGGGGCTATAGGGAGACACATGGGAAAGGGGGAACGCCACACGGACTCTGGCGAGGGAACACATGTGCATGCAACATGATCACATTCTGGCTCCGCCTACGAGATCCGCCGGGTGGTACCTCCGCGTTCGACAGTCAGAGACCGTCTACCACCTACGGACAATCACAACATCCATAGCCAAGAGAAAAATTTATCCTGGACGGGACTCGAACCCGCACAGCGCACGGCGACTGATCAGGAGACCGAAGAGTCTACTACTGCGGCCACCGCTGCTGCCAAACATTTTTCGACGAATTCAACGATGTTACATTTATTGTCTTGATTATAAGGAAAAATGCGTTTTTTCTGCTTTTTTAGTTAAAAAATATGACTTTTGATGCTGGAGCAAGCATAGAATTCTGACACTATCATAACTTTTTTGACTGTTAAAATTGGTGAACATTGCTACCATAGTTCCCTCAAACAGTGTATTTTCAGGAGCTACCATCCTATCATTGAATAGAATTATTTAGCTATAAGCTTCAATATTACATAAACATGAACACAACAAAAACACATAGCACTTGGATCTAAAATATATAAGACCGTAATTCCTCAATACTTCAACAAAAAGTGATGTTTCTATTATTTTTCTTAAAATGTCTTTGGCTTTTTCAGTTTGATTTAAGTAGTTTGTGCACTTGTGCAGTTTTTGTCAAACACATCATGGTCATACGAAACATTTGGGATATCCAATACTTTGTGTGTATATTTACAATCACTGCAAGTGCATTTTTCAGCCTGACATGCTTCCTCCATGTGATTTTGACTGCAGTATGCTACAACAGAACGGCACTTCTCTATCCGATGACCAAATCTCCAATATTTATAACATCGAAGAACACTGAAATATTCGTAGAATTTTCAACTCTTCCACCTCAAATATATCCAGCACGTACTCATTTTCTTTATTAGACAATTTTGTTATCACACTACCTGCTTTTCTTCTACTTTTACTTCTATTTATGAATAACTTTCACTTCACTACCTCTTAATTCTACGGGAATATTTTGCTTTTGAAATTTAGGCACACATTATTCTGCATCACTCAATTCAATCTCGCAACATTATTTTTATTTGTATTGCCAATTTTTAACTCTTCTCCTAATGTTAATTCCGCTTCATTGTCCAATTCTACGAATGATGTTTTGTCTTCTACATGAATGACTGAACATCCTTGTTTTATCAACAAATGTGGAGGTACCACCCGTCGGATGTGTAAGGCCAGGCCAGAATGTGTGCATATTGCATGCACACGTGTTCCCTCGCCAGAGTCAGTGTGGCGTCCCCCCTTTCCCATGTATCCCCCATAGCCCCACGGTACCCAATGGGTGCTTAGGCCTTAGGCCGTCGTGGTAGTTGGAATATAAAAAAAAGCGCCCTCCCCTTATTCCCTGTATCCGTCTATAGCCCCACGGTACCCATCGGGTGCTTGGGCCTCACGCCTTCCTGGTGGTTCAAGTATAAAAAAAATACTGCAGGATCTAATTTTTGCATTAGGACATTTTTTTTGTTTCGGTGCTACTTATGTTCTTATTTTTCAATGACTTAACTTTATTTTTTCTTACAGTTTGTTTGTTTAAGATTTATTTATCATGATTGCTACAACTACATTCTTCTAAAAAACTAAACAATTACGTAACATACAGATATTTAGAAAAAAAACATTGCGTCTGTAAAACCTCGTTTGACTTTAATTAAATCCTGTATGTTGAATGGTGTCATATTGCTTAATGTATCTTCTGTAATTCAAGAAATATTGCAGAAAAAAATGGACTTCATCGGAAGAGACGCGCTGCTGAAACAAAGGGAGGAAGGAGTGAAAAGAATGTACATCCATCTTGTACTTGAAGATCATGATTCTGAAATTGATCTATGGCCGTGGGGTGGAGAACCAATTTATAGAGATGGGAAATATGTCGGTATGACTACCACGACAGGTTACGGATATACCTTCAAAAAACAAGTATGTAGTTTACAGATTATTTGATGATAGGGCTCCCAAAATCCAAAAAACTTCTTTTTCTAGAGCTCACCGATAAAAAGGATTCGAAGCAATAAATGAAATAACGTAATTTAATTTTTTTACAGGTATGTCTGGGCTTTATAGAAAATACTGATTCACGAGGAGTAAAGCAAACTGTAACTCATGACTATGTAACAAGTGGCCATTTTGAAGTGGATATTGCTGGAATTAGGTATAGTATACCTTCTGCTACGTTCATTAATACTAATAAAATGTCATCAGTTTATGTTAGTCACCCATCAGTTTCAATCATTACAATCATATCATCACCGCTAAAGGCGTATGTTTGTGTATGAAAAGGAAAGAAGTTAAGTTTTCAATAATAAAAGCCAAGTCTAAAAACATTAGGTGTCTGTCGAGCAATTCTATAAGAAAAGCTACTGAGAGAAACACAATGTTTTTTTATTTTAGTGTGCGTTTTCCAAATGTATTTAAAAATTGGTAGTATCTTCTATAGGTACAAAGCAAGCAGGTATTCGAAAAGTGCGAAAATACGTGGTAATCTATTCAGGGAATAGAGATATCCCAATAAAAAGCCGTTTTCGAAAATTAGACATGCTTGCCTCGGCATCGACCTTAGAGTGAGTATTCGGCCATTCATTTAAATATTTGCGCTGTTATGTAAAATAACAAATCAAACCGCTTTTATCGATTTCAAGCATTGCACCTGTATGTAGAGTTAGTTTCAAAATTTAACGTTTTTGTTTGATTCCTTTCAAATTATTCTTAATCCGCACTTTACCCTGACCTTCAAATTACGCAAGAGCCAGCCGTGCAGTAAAATCTAAGCCTAGTCTCACAAATCTACGGGACATGGGTAGATCCAGCTTAAAAATGTTTAATCACTGATACTCAAAAATAACCGATATAGATTGCTTTATCTCGTATTCGCCAGTTGTACTAACCATAAGTGATGTGCTGTCTAGTTCATTTCAGTCAACTAGTCCAATAGGTGTTCACTAAAATGAACTAGTTCTAGTAACCAGTTCGCGAACGAACTATCTACACAACAATACCACATAACGCATTATCATGCCAACCGTCGCCTTTCATCCGATCGCAGAAGCCAAGCAGCGTCGGGCGCGGTTAGTAGTTGAATGGATGATAGTTGGAACACATCGTATTGTAAATTTTGTATTTTTGTTTTAGATTTTTTTTCAAGATCGATGTTTAAACATTCCACGTAAACTGTCGTTTACAGAGTGGACGTGGCTATCAGATATACACGTTTTCTAAAAATTTCAAATTATGTGGAATACATATTTGTTTTTTGCTTTCATCAGTTCAGAAGGTGGTTTAGTGATATACACCTTTGGTTAGGGGCCCGGAAGAACAGTATTTTTTTAGCATAGAAGAAAACTATTTTCAAAAAATTATATTTTAGAATATAAATTCGTAGTTCATATATATTTTCGTTTTAGTATTGATTCATTATCTCTATTAGTTTAAATTAGTGATATGTTGTATACAAGTTAGCCAATTTTTATTTCTTTCAGCCTGTGTAACTATCAGCATTTGATTTTATCTTTCTTAATAAGTTCAACTATACCACGACCGTATCCGGGCAACTAGTTAAACAACATTCTGCTTACTTGGTAGCGTATGGTGGTGTCCCGTCACCACTAGTTCTCGTTCGTTCGTTCGCAACTATACTAAGTGTCATATAAAATGCAACACCCAGAATTATATATTGAATTTTGATAAAAACTTGTAAACATATTTGCTATCATGGAAGTACTATATACGCTGATAAAATGTTTCGAGCCGTGCTTTTTTATCAAGGCTTTTTTGTCATATCAGGGTCCGAACAATATGAACATGCTTACTTAATATTCAGTGATTTTTCTGTGTTGGTTCCATTTGTTTCATTGCATTATCATACCTAGAGTTCGCAGATGCGCTAATTTCACTCAACTTTCCGAGTTTGAGAGGGGTCAGATAATAGGGTTACGTGGAGCTGGATTTTCTTTTAGAGAAATCGCTAATCGAAACGAATCTACTATAATGAGACATTGTCAAGCGTAGTTACAAGAAGGCCGAAATCGACGATTTAGAGGTACTGGATGTTAAAGCCAGACTACAGACCGACAGGATCGTTATTTGAGGCAACTAGCACTCAGAGATCGATTTTCCACAAAGAGAGTAATTGCGAACCAGTGGTTTGACAGTTTATCGCCGAATAAGATCTTTCGGACTGTTTTCATACTCCCGATCTTGTACTACCTCTGATCCCACAGCATCGCCGGCAACGATAGGTATGGTGTAGGGAGAGGCTTGAATGAAATATGGCATGGAAATCAGTCGTGTTCAGCGATGAGTCCAGATTCTGTTTGGGCACACATGATGGACGTGCAAGAGTAAGTAAGAGACGTGGTGAAAGAACGGCATATTTATCGCACTGTGTGTGTTATGGTAGCATTCGAGGTAGCATGATTGCCCAGCGCCATATCCACGAAGTTTTACAACCACAGCTTCTTCATTTTTTGGAAACATTGCAAGATCCACTTTTCCAGCAGGACAATGCACGACCTCATGTCGAACGTGTTAGTTTAGACTTTTTAGAAGCATCCAGAGTAAATCTGCTTAAGTGGCGCTCTCGATCTCGAGACCTTTCCACCATCGAACATGTATGGGACATGATGGGAAGAAGGTTACAAAATTCGCCGCACCCTCCACAAACATTGGAGGCTCTACGAAACCAAATTCAGATGACCTGGGATACAATACACCAAGAAGACATCAATCACATAATCCAATCAATGTCGCGACGATTTAAAGAATGTGAAGCGAACAAAGGAGCATCAACACATTATTAACATTAAGGTGGAATATTTAAGCTATTTTGCGAAATTTCGAGTTCAAATTTTAATCACTTTCTATTTATCAGTAGACGTAAGGGCCGTATCGCCAGTCGATCCTACAATTGTAGGACGCCTTTATGGCCTCCTTGATTTTCATTGTTTTCTATTGTTCCGTGTCAGCACTCTGTTTTGAGGTTAGGTTACAAACATCTATTTGCATCAAGTTGTTCATGCTTTTGACATATATCATCTGTTTTATCTGAAATTTCCTACGATTCAAAAAGAAAATACAGCTTCACAATAGAAGAGCGCTGACGAGGACATTGAATAATAGAAATCTTAGCCTTTATGAAGGAGAGAAAATACTATAAAAATTAAGGAGGCAATAAAGACGTCCTACAATTGTAGGAACGACTGACGATACGGCCCTAAAACTTCTAAAAGTATGCTCAAAATGACAGCACTCCCAGTCGGTGTTGCATTTTCTATGTCATTTAGTATATTTCGCTTGTATCATCGAGATGCTGTAATACTAGTCTTTCGGGATGATGCTAGAATTTTTCGAGGAATGATGAACTCGTTCACTTAGTTCAGTCATAAGAATCGTTCGTTTGAACTAGTTCGTTCGCGAACTACACATCACTACTAACCATCAATAACAAATTTACATGAATGACATGTATCTGCAATACATTGCTTTGTCTGCTAAATACATATGCCATAAAACTGACGTCATACATCTTTTATCAAATCCATACCTTCACTAGCAACCAGTAGCTGAAACAAAGCATCATTAATTAACGTATTCTACCTGAAGATAGCAATAAGGGATACGAAAAATCATAGCGCCAACAATGCCTCGGTAGCAGAACACAAATATGAATTTAAAAGTCTACTTTGAAAAGAGTTAGTGTTTGATTCAGCTACTGTTTCATAGATGGCGCTACGTTTTTTATTCTTCTTAAATCAAGGTGTGAAGATTCCCAATGGCAGCAATATTCAATTTTCAAGACTGTCAGATGTAGATAGGAAAAGACATACTTAATAGAAAGTCATGAATCCATATAGGATTAAATTCGATATAAGTCCACCTGAGAAAAAAAAAGTTGGCTACAAACAAGTATAACAAAGGCATTATGTCAGTCAAACAGGTTCATAAAATTAGGATATAATCTCCAATGATCTGACAGCATTACGGCCTAGCGTTCCACTCTACCAACAGTACCGACTACCCAGCAACATGGTAACGCGGCATGTCAAAGAATACACGAATATGTAAATCATCGCCCAGTGGATTAGTCATCCCTCCCCATGCGGACCAGAGACACGTTCGCTCGTTGGGTTGTCCAGCACGCTTATATCGAAGATCCATCTCCATCATGCAGGGGACCTGGGTAGCCCGGCGTGTCAGAGTGTCGAGCTACTGATACATCAACTAGTCGGGCCTCGGGTTCGAATCCCTTCCTCGGAAATAACATTCCAAGCCATGTGATGGTCTTGTGGATTGTCCGCCAGACCACCCAGGGCATTTCAAATTGAGCTGATTGATAGTGGTACGAAAAGCGCAGAAACCAATAAATGAATGAATGAATGGATGAATCTCCATCATTCAAGTGTTCAGGACAAATGTACGATGAAATCTATGATGAAATATGTCTAATAGGTCCGAAGAATTACAGGGGTTGGAAATGTATAAATAGCTAGCATTAAAAAAATGAAATATACTCCCCCCCTCACCCAACGTCCAATTTTTAACCACTCCAAAAATTTTGCTAAACATGATTAGGATCCTCTGAAGCGTCAAAAGAAACGAAGTTTGCCCGCTTTTTGCGCTTGGCATAGTAGTAAGGTTAAGGTTAAGTTGAAAAACGCTAATCTTAGCGACACTTCACCTTTTTTGTACTTTTACTTAGGTACGAAATAAAGCCCATTTATTATTATTATTATAGTAGCGAGAATTTCATTAAAATCCAAGTGGGACTTCTCAAATTATAGCCGGGTCAGGGATTAATGGGCAGACAGACAACCGGACGGAAATGGTTGACATGGTTTTCCGTGATGTACATAAATATCATATAACTTCCAAAAATCATAATATCTCATACCATACATCCTTGTCTAGTGACGTAAGAAGTAAAAGACATATTTCATAGACAGGCGATGGCCATCTACTTCTAGGTTTCCAAATTGCCCCATCACTCTTAACTCATTTCAAAGCAGATTTCTTATTTCATTTCAGTATTATGGTACTGCCTCATATGTAACGTAGGATCTTTCAGATCCCTTTTTGGGTGCCAGAATACGTTATTCATTGATATAATATCTTTCTTCAGCTACTGAGTACTAGAGAACGTAACCATTGACTTGATTTAGGACGTGTTTTCCGCTTGTACTGAAAATTTCAAATTTGATTGGATTTTGCTCACAATGTGTAAGGAGTGGTTTGGATGAAATTGTGAATTTTTTTTATTACATGTAGTTTGAGGCTGCATATAATGCTTTTGACGTTTAATTGCATGACATTTGCCGACATTTAAAACACGGAAATTATTTTTGAGCATTAGGGGAATGTTATTACTTTTAAGTCATCTAAAGGTATGTGCCCACGGGTCCGCACCCTACTAATCGGACTGCTTGCCCTAAACGGAATGGATTTGATCCGAATCGGAATCGGATTGCCATTTTTAGTTTGCCATCATCGATGATCCGCTCAACTGACGTAATGGAAATCAACCGGCAGGGTTATTACGTAAAAAAACTATATAATGTTAAAAAAACCGACAAAATGTCAACTTGCTGACTTGACAGCTCCTAGTGTGTAAACAGTTTATTCCGCTCTTGCTTGCTATGAGCGCTGTAAGCCTCAAATATGGAGGAAAATCAGTGGTTTTGCTATGTGAGAAAATTATTACTGAATATGCTGCCCAAGTACCAGACGGGTTATTGTGTTGTCTTTTCTGAGAGAAGTTATAAATTACGATTTCCTCAGTTTTTTTTGCGTTTTCAAACATTTTGAGAAGTGCTACGGGAAATCACCACCGCGCCCGTGAGTAATTAAGCCACATCACAGAAATATTAGGAATGACATATCACATACAAAACATGTTCGCAGTGCCGCACATCTAGGCGCTGATTTGTATTTCGAAAAATAAATGTCTATAAAACTGAAATACTGGAAATAAAAAATAATGTAATAACCTCTTCACGTTTCATAAATATTCGTGTCTGTAGCGTATTTTGTCACCTGTTAGTTGTAATATACTTCACCAACCGAGAATTTTCTTTTCTTATCTCGCTCATTTTTGAAATTTAGCAAATTTGCATATGTAATTTCCAGGATCAACCATACATCTCAAGTAAGTGTATTTGAGACAAGAAACTAAGGAAATTATCATGAACACAGATTATTTATTAGCACACAAATCCTCACTAATCACCTATGCACTCTGCCGTTTCGCCCGTTTGCTTCTAGCTATAGCATACAACTTACAGCTTAGGCCTCCAATAATGCCATCTTTGAATCAGATGTTACATCACATCAGAGCTACACTATGTCAGCTCAAGCGTCATGACGTTTAGGCAACACGTACAGCTACACAATGAGTGCACATCAACTAAACAACAGCTAGTTACAAGTTGACATCTTGTAGAAAAACCTACATAATGCCGCTTAATCGGTTCCGTCAATTGTGACGACGCCTCCTCTAATCCCTATGACGTCATCGAGTCGCCGATGGTGCACTGCATACCATCTGCCCGGTGCAGATCACAGGAAATATTTGTTTCTAACATGTAGAGAATTCTGAAACTCGTTTAATGCGAGTAGTCGGTACGTGCAATCATTGAATAACGCATTCTGACTGAAGATAGCTAACTATATATATATATATTGTATTCCGGCGCCCAGAAAGGGATATGAAATATCGTATTGCTATCTATGAGATAATATCAGAAAACGAAAATGGATTTTGAAATCTGCTTTGAAAAGAGAGTGGTTGGTTCTGTTACTGTCTCATAGATGGGTGCATCTCTAAGGTCTAGGTTAATAGCAATACGTTAGTCAGTATCTGAAGATCATTAGAGGGACTCCAAAAAGCTGGGATTGAAGATCCAGCGTCATCTATGAAACAGCAGAACAAGCCAATCTAACTCTTTCCAAGTATATTTCTGGATTCATCTTCAAGTAATAACCGATTGCGTATCCATTCACGTGACGTCAGTTCAACCTCAGACACTCTTTCACGTATCTGTCAAAACTGGTTGTGTGGTTATACTGCTTTGTTTATTGCAAAGTCTATCAGTAAACTCTTCTCTTGTGTGTTTTTAAACACAATGTTCCTCCTTCTGAAATTCGCCAGCAGCTTGTTGAATTAGGCTGCTTCACGACAACGTTCGGTCTCACGTTGCGACAAGAACACAGATGCAACTGGCCCTTGCTTAGCACCATCAGACTTCCATCTTTTTCCAAAATTTAAGGAATTTCTTGGTGGCAAGCACTTGGAAAATGATGACATGTTGAAAGAATCTGTTACTAACTGATTTAACTGTTAGGCGGCACCGTTCTTTTGCAACTGGATCCAAAAGCTGATGCCAGAACTGGACAAATGTTCAAATGATTATGGTGACTATGTTGAAACATGACAAAAATGTTCATATTTTAGTTTGTGATACAGCTTAAATTCAATAAATAGTTTCTCTGACTCCATTACAAAATGGTTCTTACTTAAAAATTAACCACGTATCTTTTTGGGCACCGGAATACAATATGTGACTGTGGCTAGCTTCTCATGGAATACGTTAATCAGTGGTGCAATGCGAACTCGTGGACCTATACTTTTAGAAATCTGTTCTTATAAAACACTAAAAGCACCGTTTTTGTATTCTTGAAGAAACCGATGTGGAGCAAACCGTTTTCCAGATGTTTAGAAATGCTCTCTGATCCTTTCCTAACTCAAGAGAGAGCTTGTATCATTTCGCCTTGTTGAGTAGTAACTAGCTTTTTATAAGAACACACGTCGCAGCACTACAAAATACAGGATGTTCTAAAAGTTGGGGCATTTCTATTTAGAAATAACACTTTTAAAATAACGAACGCAACTTGCGATAAAATACGAGTAGCAACATTTAATAGAATCAAAGAAAAGTATTTCCTGTTCATTTGATAAGAAGATTCCGGTACCGAATTGTCGAATATTGTGTACTGTTATTGCCGTTCGTTTTAAAAGCACACAAGTTTGTTCGTTTCTTCCTCAATAGCAATATTCGGAGCTGCCTTCAACTGTGCCCGCCTCGAAGACTCTATAAACAGCCTTTGTACTTGATAAACAAATCTATGTAACGAGCGAAGGAAACGTCCAGGAAAGTAACCCGAATACACACACAGTACGTTATTGTTATAGGAACTTGCCACTTTTGTCTTTTACTCGCATACCACTGATGAGGAAGTATTGCAATCGCGAAAGATTTCGAAAATGAGATATGATATATATGATGTCTCGAAAAACCAAGTCATTTTTATCGGTCTGTCTGTGTCTCAGTCCGCTAAACATTGGTCCGTCTATAGCATGGAGAGTAACGCTCAGAATTTGATGAAATTTTCGCAAAAGGACGTAAAATGTTGATAGGTTTTGAACATTGCTGAAGTGGTGGCAGAATGGGAGACAAAAAACGAAAAAAAAAGAATCGCTACTCATTATTGGAAACTCTTTTGACAAAAAATTGGGAAGTGTGGGAAGGTGTAACTAATTGTTTTTGCGGTAGTATATTAACATACTCTAACCCTGGTAGTTCTGCCCACGTATTCGAGATCTTCGATACCCGCGTTGAGAAATGGGAGACAAACGTGTAAGGGTATAGCCGCTGCCCCTGCGCTGGTGCCTCGGCGACTGTGTGTTTCGGTGATATCGCATTTTTTAAACGGATGGGGTCTGTGGAATGTACAGGCCCATTTGACTGACTATCTATTTAATTCATTATTCAGTTATACATGCCCGTAGCTTTCCTGAAACAGGATAACTTGTGCCGAGCATAATTTTTCACTTAACGCTATTTTTTAAATCCAATTTATAACTAAACAGCTCGGTTTACCCACGCCTGGGTGGGATACTGAAAATTTGCTTAGTTTTACAAAAATGGTGTCTAAATGAAATCCCAAACTTGAAGAACTTTATGTATTGTTTCATTGAAACGAATTTTTGTCCTAATTGACAAGCAACTTCTTCGTTACAGGTTCAGCGCGAAAGCCAACATTCATTCTCCAATCTTGCCATCCAAACACCCAGATCAAGAGCGTGATGCTTACCAAGCTACACGGGGAAAAGGCAATGAAGAAATGAATACTATACACCAAATTGTTAAGACTGTTTAGATTGTAACATTACCTATTGTGCGATTTTTGTCTAAAAGTATTATTTTATTAATTTTGTTGTATATTGTATAATTTTGTATGTATTGTATATTGGTATGTTATTAGGAATTATATTTTTGTTAAATAAAAACGTTTCTTGGAATTTCTTGTTATCTAATTGAAGTTATTGCTAAACTGAACATTATATACTTCGGCGTGCGCCCCAGGACGTAAAAGTGCTCACCTGATAATGGCATACAGGGTTTTTCCGGAAAGTTATAGGACTCATTTTCTTCCGCCATGTCTGTACTTCGGAGCGTGCGCGCACCGACTGGATTCGGTAGAGAGTGTTCCTAGCTAACGAATGAGCGGCTGGTCAGTTGTCTCTGAGCACTTGGAGAGTCAGGACAGGCATTTTTGCGCGACGTGTTTCTGTGAGTGGTGCAAGCCGAAAATGCAGCATTCTTTAGAGCAGAGGTACGCGATTAAATTCTGTGTGAAACTCGGTAAATCTGCGACAGAGACATTTGATATGATCAAGCAGGCTTACCCAGGTGTTGCTTTAGCAAGAAGTGGTGTGATTCGGTGGCACCAGGCCTTTTTGGAGGGCCGGGAGGGGTCGCTGATGAAGACCGTGCTGGAAGACCTTCGACTTCGACAAACACCGATAATGTGACTCGTGTGCGCAAAGTTTTGAACTCAAACCATCGAATAAGTATTCGTTTAATTGCCCAGATGTTAAATTTACCAAAATCTGTGGTTCATGACATTGTGACACAGCATTTGAACATGCTCAAGGTGTGCGCGAAGATGGTCCCAAAAGTGCGCACTGACGACCAGAAATTGCGGCGAGTGGAAGTGTGCCAAGAAAATTTGAACATGTGTGAAAGGGACCCCCAATTTTTGAATAAAGTAATCACAGGTGACGAGTCGTGGATCTTTGAGTATGATCCCGAGACAAAGAGGCAATCTTCCGAGTGGCACACGACGGCGTCTCCTCGCCCAAAAAAGGGAAGAATGAGCAAATCCAAAGTGAAAACGATGCTCATTGACTTTTTTGACATCAAAGGCATCGTCCACCATGAATTTGTTCCTCCTGGACAAACCGTCAACGCCAAGTTTTACATGGAAGTGCTCAGGAGACTCAAACGAAGGGTCAGTCGGGTTCGACAAGACATCGCAGCCGACTGGAAGTTGCACCACGACAGCGCCTCGGCTCATACCGCCTTTCTTGTGAACTTCTACCTGACCAAGGCCGGCATTCCAACGCTTCCGCAGCCGCCCTACAGCCCAGATGTGGCCCCCCCGGACTTTTTTTTTGTTTCCTCGCCTGAAAAGGCCGATGAAAGGCAAGCGTTTTGAGACGACAGAGGGGATCCAAGCAGCATGCACCGCGGCTCTCAAGGCTATTCCGGAGAATGCCTTCCGTGACGCCTTCAATGCTTGGAAATCACGCTGGCAGCGCTGCATCGACGCAGAAAGAGCATATTTTGAAAGTTTTTAAAGAATTGTAACGATTGGCTCAATAAATGTTTTTAAATCGACTCAGTCCTATTACATTCCGGACAAACCCTGTAGATTTATTGACTTTGAGGCCAAATATTCCAAAAGCAAGTGCAGGTGGTTGACCTTCGAATTTTGAGAGGTTTTAACGCTCTGATGGGGAAAATGTGTTTATCATAAGAACTCCTGTAAATCCCATATGGATTTTTTCAGAGACTAATTGGTGGAATTCGTTCAAACTTCACATAAATATTTGTCAACACGATACCTTGAACATATAAAAATTCCGTACATTTTAATAAATTGTGACCAAACGCAACTTAACACTTAGACAACATGATTACAGATAACAAGTGAGACAAATCCCAACATACCTGGACTATGAATGCAATCTTCCTAAAGACCAGGCAACTCCGCATACTTAACAAAAGTAGTTCAAATGTCCGTCAAAAACAGTCGTGATAAAAGTCACGTGCTCATTCCGTCATTTCGCATTGGTGGGCTTAATTTGATTCAGGTTTCCACCAATGCCCGCCAATGTTTTGGACAAGGTAGGGCAGAGGTCACCTTGAAGCTGAAAATTTGAGATTATTTTGAATTTCGCCAAGAACCAATATAGTGTCTGTATATTTTGGCTGCTTTCGTTGACGATACAAATTCAGGTAAGTTCACATATCCTTTTCTAAAAATAACCTATTTCACTGTGTTTTGACAACATTTCTTAATTATTCAAGAAATAAATGCATGCAGTATTTGTTTTGTTAGCATTCAAATTTGGTACTGACAAAAATGTACCAATTTTAGGCTAAACATGACAGAAGCAGAGAGTTCAAAATTTATAGAACGTGGTGCTCATAAGGGCAAGGGCATCGCGGTTTTCACAAGTGGAGGTGACTCTCAGGTTAGTTCCCCTTTGGGCCCTGAAGAATTCAAACTAATATCAGGTGTTTTCAGGGGATGAATGCAGCCGTAAGGGCTGTGGTTCGTATGGGCATATATCTGGGATGTAAAGTGTATTTTATCAGAGAGGGATATCAAGGTAAGTCAGCTGATTTCTTTTATTTTGCAAGCTATTTGCATGGGTGTTCTTAACTACACTCGAGATAAAATTGTGATGTGCCATTTGGTTATACAGCTACAAATATGTTAAGGGGGTAGACGTTAAGTCCTCCATTTTACTGTTTTTTACCGAAATATTCTAAAACATTATTTTGATCTTTATAGGTAAAACTATTCCATAATCCCTACTCAAGTAAAAAATAATTAATTACAATGTAATGCAACTCTTCATTAGTAGAAAATGTCTCGATTGCTGTGTTAGAATTATGTTTATTAATTGTCAATATCAACATAATAATAGAATACCTAAAGGAGTCTTAATATTCAAGTTACTCTATAACACACTTGACTCAGGTCTATCAATATCAATCAATAAAACATATCTATCTAGAAAAATTCTGTTTTAGTTATATTCAATCAATTTGGTAATTAGCAAAGTTATATTATTCAAAGTTATTCCTGCATAATGGATAATATATTACAGTAGGCTTAGTAAATGATTTTAATTTATGGTTTATTATATTGCTGGTAAGTAATGTATGTACTTGTTAAACAAAAACTAGTTATGAATTACTTTCATTTTATTATAATAATGCAACTATGACTAGATCTGTATATGAAAGACTATGCTGAAGGTGATTAAAAGTATTTCGGTGTTATTTAAAATATTTCAAGGTCCTTTAAATGAATGCTTCTACACATGCCCCCTTCTTATCTTCATTTATTACCTTCAATGTTATTACTTTCCTGATGTGTATTGCAATCAGTTCTAAAGCTCACTATACAGTAACCCTAGGTCAGGTACCATAACACAGCCACATATCTGTGAAATTGAGTAAACATTAAAATATTTGTTGCAATAACATCAATCATAATATTTTGCAGCATTGTATAATTATGGCTTAACCCAGGAAATGGTTTTTAAAATGATTAATGTGACATGGAAATACATATGTGCAAACACCATTTTATCAGCTTATTTATATTTACAAACCCTGTTGTTTGAAACACAAAAAGTGAAATATATCCTTTAATTTTTACTTTGTTATTCGTTAAACAGATAACAGATGCATATATCAGTTGATTGTTTATGAAGCCTTTAGTCAAATTAATGCTGTAAAACTAACAATGTAATCAAATGATGCCTAAGTATTTTATCGTTTCCATCTGGGTATTTCTTCCCTTCTTTGTTTTCTTTCCCCATTCCTTACTCATTTTTTTTCCTTAAAATATTTTGATAATCAGTACTGAAAATTATGGCTACTTCTGAAAGGTGGCCAGTTAGAGTAGCCAAATAAACTAGCTACTCTGCAACTTGCATTGATTGCTTGTAAGGTGACAGTGTGATAACCTCATTATCACCATTTCATAGTGGAAATAGAAAAGATCACAGTAAATTCATTATCACGGCGAAAAAGAATGGAGGGAAGCAAAAAGGAAAAACTTCATTGGCAATGTTGCTTGGGCCTCAAAGTACTGTATTCATGCAAAAAATTTTTGATAAAACATGGGAGGATTGTCATCTATATTGACATGTATATTCTAAATGCTGTTTATATAATAATTTTGATGTTTTTGATAGGTATGGTAGATGGAGGGGACAACATTGTTGAAGCGAATTGGTCGTCAGTGAGCTGTATTATTCACAAAGGTGGCACTATAATTGGTTCTGCAAGATGTAAAGATTTTAGGTAAATATCATAATTTACTTCTGATTTTGCTCTCAATGTATAATTTCTCAAACATTCCTTATGAAAGCAGCTGGCTCAAAAGTGCCACATGTCTCCACAATTAACCACCCAGACAGTGTGAGGGCATGTTGAAGGTAGGGTCTGTATGTATATTACAGTCAATTTTGACAGCTGTCACTGATGCTGCTAGATTGATATACTTCAAGGTTGTGCTGCCAAAAGCTCAAAAGTCAGGCTGCTCCATTTGTTCTTCAAATCAACCATATAAGATACTGTCTCATCTTTATTAGAAATCATCCGTCCAGTAAAGGTGGCAGAATCAACTGAAGCAGAGTTAAAGCAAGGATAACATTAGGATTATGTAGTAGATGCTCTTATTTCTACTTGGGTATTTTTGAGAAACATTTATTTCTGAAATGTACATGATATACTTCTATTACAGAGAACGCGCAGGTCGACTGAAAGCAGCCAAAAACCTCGTAGATAACGGCATTACCAACCTCGTGGTGATAGGAGGTGACGGCAGTTTGACAGGTGCCGATCTTTTTAGACAAGAGTGGTCATCCCTATTGGATGAACTGCTCAAGAACAACCAGATCACCACCGAACAACGGGAGAAATACAAGTCACTGCAGATTGCCGGACTTGTCGGGTCCATTGATAATGATTTTTGTGGGACTGACATGACTATTGGAACTGACAGCGCCTTACACAGGTCAGCAGCATTCATACTTCTGTTTTTTCTTTGGCCAAGTCATTTTATTTTCTATGAAAAGCTAGCTGAATAATATATGTACACTGTTTCTTCAATTTTAGTTAATTAGCTTTAAGATCATTTTATGGTATCTAAGATCATAGGACATCTCATCATTGACACCGACATTAGTATATGCATCTATACAAAGATGGTAATATCAAACTAATTTGTAAGTCCAAAATGATGAATCAATTCAAAAAGTATAAGTACAAAGCTTCTTCTGGCGACATATCAGAAAATTTCTGATTGAACAATGTGGACGCCTTAACTTTGACTCTCCTTGTATAGATGGAAATCTTGAATATATGCATGCTTATCGTTCTTATATCTTCTAGAATTATTGAAGCAATAGACGCCATCGTGAGTACTGCATATTCCCATCAAAGGACATTTATTATGGAGGTCATGGGGAGACATTGTGGGTAAGTTTTATTATTGATTTTAATTGATAATCATATGCCAATATTAATGATGAAAATATGATATCCCTTTCATACACATTCTGGCATCAGATAGCACCAGACAATTGTTATCTGGTGTTGATTATCGGTCCAGATATGTATATGTTTAAAATATTTTCCTGCATTTGGAAACATGGTCAAACAAACAAATTATATGTTGATTATCATTCCAGACACGTATATCAATTATTTTCATATCTTTGAAAATATGTTGAACCTTTTACATGAAAGCATTCTTCAGTAACTTTTCAATTCAGCAAACTCTAGCTTTTCCCAGCCTAAAAGACCAACAGTGAAGCTGCTAAAGATTTTTTCGTTAATTTCATATTTCGCCTTGTTAAGTTGTTAGGCGATTATCAGTTGATCAATAATTGCCTTAACCCCCTATATGTAGACAAAGGGTGTCTATGAGTTTAACATGTTTATGTCTTCAATATGAAATGATTTTAGATTTAAATTTTCTTTTTATGAAAGAAGACTTCTTCAAGAATGTTCACAGAAATCCAAGGTCGCCGGTCGTAATGTTGCCAATATTTGCTAAAATTCGGACGGTTGACGTTTGGTTGAGTTGTCTAATCAATTTTGATTCAAGTATAGAACGGGTGATGCTGTTGGGGTTCAGGGTTGCCGCGGAACCAACATACAATTACTACAGATTCCTTGTTACACAATATCTGAAAGAAAAAAGTTTTTAGGTATTTAGCGTTAGTAGCAGCTTTAACGTCAGAAGCCGATTTCGCATTCGTACCAGAATCCCCTGCACCAGAAAATTGGCCAAAAAAACTATGTGCAAAATTGGAGCAGGTATTTCATTACAAAACCTGACCTCTTTGGTCTTCTGCTCTGTAAATATTTTTTATGTAGTGTGCTCAGCCTTTTTTCAGGCTACTTCCACGAAAGGTTTTGCATTATAAATACCATTATCATGGAATGTGGATTATGTCACATGATTTTTTTATCGGTTTCTCAGTTTTTTTTACTGGAATGGGTTTACTGATGTTAGTTTTATAAATATAGTTAAATTGGGGTTATCAAGACCACAAAAATGCTCATAATGAGGCCTACAAAGAGTAAATCGGTTTTCAGTTTTTTGATTTTCATCAACAATTATGTGACAAAATGATAAAAATATGTCATAGATGTATTGTTAACATTTTTTCCTCAATTAAGATTTTTACCTTGACCTAAACATGAGATAACACAGTCACCTTTAGTCAAAGTACAATATCTACCAAATTACATAAACAAAACTGTATGTCGTTGATAAAAAATAAAACGCGTATCATAGAGCATTAACATGATAGTATAATCCTTTAAAAATACATTTTTTATAATTATGCCTTTTTACATATATGTATATTTGAAGTTTTTGTTGAAAAATTCAGCAAATTGATCTAGTAATAATGCTTAACCTTTTATGGAAATCTATAACTAATAACTATTTCCTGTCCTGCTTCTAAAATTAGTTATTTTATTAGTAACTGTCATTTTTTCTAATTTTAATATAAGGTATAGATTTCTGTGAAGCGTCATATTAAAATATTGTTGGCTACCTTATTGTTGTATAAGATTTACTTGTGTTTAGTAAACACCGTATTTATGTTTAGAACGTCAAGTCTATGTCTTCTCATTCATTGACGTGAACACAATAATATCTGAAAATACACGCTTCATGCAACAGTATTGTATGAAACTGCAAAAGAAAATTTGCAACATGTTGGGGACACTCGAACATCGTACCATATTATTTTGATACGTTAAAAATATTTGTAAATACCGGGTCGTTACATAATCATTCACTTATCGTAGCCAAGTGGCATTGATTCCCAAGTAAGTGCGACGTTTTAAAACTAATTTTAGGTTCGCTACTTGAAGTTGTATTTGTTAGTATAGTAAAATTAGGAGCGCTCGGGTCAAAGGTGAAAGACGCTTATGGGAGTTTATTGATTTAATACGCGACTAGATAAAGTGTCCTCATTATGAGTGTTAGGCACTGTTCTCACCAAAGGCAACCCGACGACGAGTCCATTTCGACTTTAGTAGTGTTGCTAGTGTATTCCCACTGACAGAGGCGACTATAAGGGGGGGGGTCAACATACGAGAATTTGCCAATTTTTTGGGTGAATTATTGCTAATTGGGGACGGGACAGTAGTTCAAAATATGATGAAAGTGTCTAATCTGTAGGTAACTTTTTATTTGCAAAATTTGTAAAGCGGTAGGTAATCCGCATAGTTTCGTAGTTGGCAGCGTCACATATATTTGTTTTTTATAAGTTTTAACGGCCATTTAGGTAAAGTATCGACAAATATATAAATAATGTTTAATTTGTTATGAGTTAAAAAGGACTGAAAAAACGATATCTTGTCTCTTTAAAACAGGAAAACAAGTCTTTGGCGATTTTTCTAACGAGATGTACGAAATTTTATTTTTCCACTTTCAATATTGTTTGCGCCACATCGCTTCTAAAATACTGATTAAATCACGGGAGTATCAGTGTACAAGATCCAAATGTAAAATTGCTTACTTGCTTCGTAAAAGCATGTTAACGCTATTTTAAATTCTTCATGGCATAGATACCTATTTTTTGCTACCAATTGGAGAAGTCCGAAAATATCAAAAAATGTGTACTATTTTCATTCCACAAGATAGAAATATAAAATCGTATGTACATTATCACGGAGCTGTCTATTTTTGGAGCAAAATGGAATTTCTTTCAATATTTTTTATGGCTCTGCATTGCGAAATATTCATAATCATGAAAACCGCAATACTACCCCTACGATCTTTTTGGTTTTATTTCCTTGAAAATGTTTTAAAGTATATGGTATTTAGGATACATAACTAGCGACATTTTTTATAGCTATCCCTTTTCCTATTCTTATGTTGAGTCTCAACAGATACGTTTTCACTATTAAAGTAGAAATACGATATTGAGATCATTCGCCATTTTAACCAAAAATACCTTTCATTCATGAGATGTGATGTAATACATAATAACAGAATCGCATATTAATCAAAATGTATTCCTGTTGTACGCACATTCCTCTTGTTCTGCTGAATATGTGTTTGCCATTTTATTTATTGGTTTGTTCCATTTTTTTGTTTTTTTTTGTCTCGTTGACGCTGTGACGTATATTTTACCTAACAGTGTGTAATACACCGAAATGATGCACTGTTGAAATAAAGATTTATTATTATTATGCAAAACTCGCATGGACATCGCTGGTAGAAATAATAAAATTTTACATCATAAATTGCACCTTGATGTATAGAAGCCGTGTATCATATCAAACTTCATAAAGATATCTACAATAGTATCAGAGTTATTATAAATTACCAACTGCACCACCCTATAACTCAAAAGATAAAACGCTTAGGACATACGTTCACGCTTCCTTAAAATTGGTCCAAGAATCACCTTCCTAAATATTAGCATATCACTAAGAGATGTATATTATGCGTGAGGAACATGGATGTATTAAAGCAATTCCTGTAGTTTTACTGTGACCTGCCAAAAACGGTGAAAATACCTACATTTGGATACACGTGCCCTTTTTGCCGTCGGGTTGCGGTTGCCATTTACTTTCGGTGAGAAGGGTCCCTTAATCGGCTCCGTGAAACAAGCAATATCTTGGATTTTAACAATATGTTAGTTATGAGAAATTGAATATATTCAAGTTATATTTTCTGGTGTATCAAATATATTCCCGAAGCTGTTCTTTTGAAAAAGCGAGCTAAGCTAGAAATGTTTCAGCTATCTAGCTCTCGTAGCCGCTTTGACAGGCGAGGCCGACTATGTTTTCATACCGGAATGGCCTGCTGATCCGCATTGGCCTGAGATGCTTTGTAAGAAAATTTTGCAGGTATTTCATTGGAGAACTTCTTTAATTAGCACTGCATCTTGTTCTGGGCGTAGCTAATCGTATATGGAATCGGACGGGGCTAGACGAGCCGTAAACCTCGCATTCGTGGGAGAAATTTTCCAACTTGATTCTCTTTTCATAATCTTGTTTGTTGTTCAAATAAATAAAGTGGCTGCCGGTCGGTAAGCGGGTGTAAAGGAATCAAATATCCGAGGCGTAGGGTTATTACGTAAACTTGTTGTCTAGGTAGGCTAGTGTGCAAATAGTTCATTCCGCGCTTGCTACAAGTGAGCATGAAGTGACCGACAGCTAGACAATGTCTTAAAATAAGCCTAAAATAATCCTGAGTTCTTGTAGAGGAATGTTTGATCTTTATTTAAGGCCCGTATCGTCAGTCGTCCCTACAATTGTAGGGCGCCTTTATGGCCTCCTTGATTGCCATAGTCTTCTACTTCTCCGTGTCAGCGCTCTATTTTGAGGTTATGTCACAAACATCAGTTTGCATCAAACTGTGCTTGGTTTTGAGTTATATCATGTTTTATCAGCCTGAAATTTCCTACAATTTAAAAGGAAAACAAAATCTTCACAATAGGAGAGCGCTGACGCTGACACGGGACAAGGGTAATCTAGAAATTTTTGAAGGAGAGAAAGGAGTACGACAATCAAGGATGCCATAAACGCGCCCTACAATTGTAGGGACGACTGACGATACGGGCCTAAGAGTCAGCGCTCTCCTATTGTGAAGATATGTTTTCTTTTTAAATTGTAGGAAATTTCAGGCTGATAAAACATGATATAACTCAAAAGCAAGCACAATTTGATGCAAATAGATGTTTGTGACATAACCTCAAAATAGAGTTCTGACACGGAGAAGTGGAAAACTATGACAATCCAGGAGGCCATAAAGGCGCCCTACAATTGTAGGGACGACTGACGATACGGGCCTAAGCAGCCACAAAAGTAATAAGTTTTAACAGACTTTCTACGCATTTTAAATGATCATTTCTTAGGATTATCAGACTTTAGATCTCTCGAAAATGGTTAACTTTAGATGAAACTTGTTAAGGAACTTTTTGTTTAGGACGACCAGAAACACCTGAAAAAATCTTCCACAGAGTGCAAACAATTCGACCCTCACCGAAACTATAAGAGATACGAAATCGCTTAAATGGGGCAAAGGTGCGTATTTGGTAATTAACAAAATTGGGCTTAGAAAGTACTTCCGGAGAGAGACGGAAAAAAACGAATTTTCCATAAATCGTTCGAATTTTTGCCGATTTTATTTATAGTGGGATTTCAAAATAAATGCACATTAACATTGTCACTTTTTCGCCTCTACAAGATGACGTTATTAGAATTTCATTATGACGTTTCGTCCGTTGTCCTCCATCATCAGCTTTTTCTTATGGACTCCATATTGGGTTTTTGCTTAGATAGTTTTTCATTCTGATTCCAAAAATATACAATATGTCATACATTGATATTGCCACAACTAAGTTATTTCTGGTTTGGTATAAGAAACAAATAACTATCTAAAAATTTTGAGGCCGACCTAGGAATGTGCACTTTATTTCGAAACCCCATTACAAATTAAGTCCAAAAAAAAATATTTTAAGAAAATTCAGTTTTTTGTGTTTCTCTACGGAAGTAGAATTTCGAAACTTTCTAAGCGGCATTTCATTAGATACCTAAATATGAAACTTTGCCCCGATTTAAGTAATTTCGTATTTCTTACCGTTTCCGAGATCCCAATGGCGAGGGTCGAATTTGAGACACCCGGTATTTTGTTTAAAATAAATTTGCAACGTACTACCTTTCGGCATTCTTTTGATTCAAGTTAAGGGTAGCATTCAACAAACGTGATAATGAAAAGAAAATATCGTCGGAGGCGACAATGTCTCCCACAATTGCAAGGTTTCCGTTTCGTCTAGGCGTTATGATTTAAATAGATTAACTGGCAACATAGCGAATTCATATTCTTTAACGTTGTCGCTTGATTTTTTGGTATGCAAATATACCAGTTTTCGTGTGCGAGGTTCTTCGTCATTTGTACATCAAAGTTCAAACTGATAGGGACAATTCTTGGAAGCAAATGAAGTATACATGAATAGTTTGCCTTTCTCTAAATACCTAACAGGTAACATTTATAATAACAAAAGAAACCATAATGGCTTTTGGTATCGACTAAGCAACTAACCTATTTTCTGTTTTGTCTCATTGTCCACTGTAGTTACTTAGCATTAGTAGCGGCGTTGACAGGTGAAGCTGATTATGTTTTTATACCCGAAGAGCCTGAGGAAAATTGGCAGAAAACGTTATGTGATAAACTAGCCCAGGTATTGGAGTGTGAAAACAATCTTGGAAATGTGTTGCTGGAATATTAGAATAGAATTTGGGATTGGAAACATGCACTGGCTTGGCCACTATAGTCCCTAGTGTTATAGAATCTGTATCTGTAAGATGGATCATTTCACGTGAAGCGGGCAAAGAAAAAGAGTGAGGTTTTAAAATTCCTTCATATTGGACTATTTGAACAACTACATGAAAAAGAGAACATGGTTTCTTTTTTACTTGCTTGCACTTGCTTATTTGCTTAGTTATGGGCTTCTAACAGATAGCCGCAATTGAATTCGGGATTTATTAGGGGTATTTAAGCGATGGCCTTGTATAGTACATTTTTGATAAAAAAAAGTCAAATTTGGAATTGGAAAAAATAGCGTGCAAACCAAAATTTGCGTAACAATTTTAATTTTAGTTGTATTTTCTCCAAAATGTAATCGCTACTAATATTATAAATAGGAAAGAGTAAATGTTTGTTACTCAATCACGCCAAATAACTGAACGGATCTGGATGAAATTTGGCACAGCGATAGGTTATAGTCTGGAATTGAACATACTCTACTTTTTATCCTGGGAAATAACTCAATATTCTATTCCACTAGCTTATTGGAACTTGACGTGATGTATCTGGCGCGAAAGCGCTCAGTCACTGATAAAACCGAAATTAGTAATGGTATATAAATGGAGCATTTACATCGGGCATTTACTGCATTTCTTAGCATGATCGTCTTGTTTTTCCTCAAGCATAATACTGTGAATAAATAGTTATTTGGTTATTTGTCATATAATCTTTAATCTGTTGCCTAGCAAACCTAATGCTGCGTGTCCGTGTCCGTCAAGTGACCTAGACGTCTTATTTTGCACCAGCTATTACTCGCGACTTCGCACGCTTGAAACTATTACTAACACAAAATAATGTTTTTAACTAATTAACTTTCGATCGCGTTTTGTATCTTGGATGACATTAGTAAATTGACAGCCAACTTGCATGCTTAGGAAATTTGGTTATTTTATTAGTGGCGCCACTTTCACGTTCGCGGGTAAAACCGCGGGACAGAAATCTATTATAGCATAAAATACAGTAGAAGTTTTAATTAAGAAGTATGTATTTAGATAGTGGTTATGACGTTAGGCGCTTGTTTAGGTCGGCTGGTTAGTGAGATATGGCATTAGTAGTGATTTTAAATGTATTTGAACTGAAATTTATGATGTTATAATACTTTTTAAATATTTGTAATGAAATGCAATCAATGAAATTTACAGAGCTACTAATTTTTATTATTTATATATTATATACATTATTTATTACCTGATAATCGAAGAGGAATAGAGTTGATTATAATTTTGGTACGAATAATAAACTATACTTTCTACAGCTGTACTATGATAGAAATACTTGCTAAATTTACTATTACTGTTTTAATAATGATTTCGTTTTGACAGCTACTAGATGTACAAATATTCCTAGTATAAACAAATTTCAAAACCTCACTTTTTTGCGTGATCCGCTTCATCTGAGATGCCCCCCATATGTGACGTTTTGAGAACAAATTATATTATAGAAGACTCATGTTTTTTATTCGAACAAGTGTCCAAAATTTATCTTCCATAATCAAATGGCGTAGTTTCCAAAAGTTGCAAGTATAGCTTGAGTCATTGTATAAACGAAAAACTCTAACTTGATCGTGATAAGTTTTCTACGTTCTGACCTTGGAGTGTGGCTCTACTGCAATGGAGCTTAAGTTTCCGCCAGATGTGAGGGAAATAAGCCTTTGTTGAATATTAACAAAGCTTGATTCGTACATATCAGATGCAGATTCTATCCGAAATTCATATTATGGAACATTTCATTAAACTGATTTCTAAGAGGGCTGATTCACCTGTTTCTCATTTGTATATATTACATTTTTTTATTATATATAACGTGTAGCGCTAGAATCTACATTTATGATATGGGCTAGGCACCAGGATACAAAATCTGGAAAACGAGGGAATTTAGTATCCAATAGAAACTGCGCTTAGTTCTATTACTTTTTCTCACAGCTTTTACCAGATATCAGACCAGTTTGAGAATGCATTTATTTTGTCAAAACAGCATGTTCCTAGATGTTTCACAACATTATTTCATCACATAATTATCATTGTTGGAGTTGAGACCGATGAACGATGGCGAATTTTTTCTTCTGCTATTTATCAAGATAATGTCTCTGGGTGCAACTTTTCTATCAAAGAAACGTTAAAGAACGGAGTTCCTCCAAAAGTAATAGAACTACGCCCACTTTCTATTAGTTTTCTTCTTCCATGGATCACATCTTCATCTTAGCTAAATCTTAATTTTACATTAATCTTGTAATAATTAGTTATCGATTTGCATCAATCATGTTCTGAAATAATCTACACCTTACATAGTTTCCATTACTCGTATCAGACCCATGCTATATACCAGGCTTCTTCACCTCATAATGCCATGAAGTAAAAATCATTGAGGTTAAGGTATGCTCATAATTACGCTTCTCTATGCTTTTCAATGTGCTTTATGTTGCTTTTGGTGTGACATCGTATTCGTACAGATACTCGAAGACTGTGTATCGAAACTCTGTTCAAGTCTCATTTGCGAATCGAAATGTTCGTATTGGCCAGCGGGCCACAAACGTATGGACACGTAACGACAGGTGAACAGTGCACGAACATTTTGCGATAGATTGCTTGTGATGTCTTGACACGGTGTAAATGAGGTTTGAATAGGCCGTGGACAGCTAACTATATTCAGAACTAAGATACCGTAAGCAAAAGAACGAAAATGTCAACCAATAATGTGCCTTCGACATATATACATACTTCAGGTACACAGTTTTACAGTATCTACTTTTGGTTTGTTATATTTTTGCAAAAAACATCTTTTTATTGTATTTCTCCAATTTAGGAAAGGAACTCTGGTCAACGTTTGAACATCATAATAGTGTCAGAAGGAGCTATCGACAGAAATGGTGATCCTATCACAGCAGAACAAGTGAAAAAGGTTGTGGTGGACAACCTTCATCAGGATACTAGGATTACTGTTCTGGGTCACGTACAACGAGGTGGCAATCCTTCTGCTTTTGACAGAATTCTGGTAGCTATTTTGTAAAATCTCAATTTTTTTCCCGAATATAATAAGGATTTGATCAATAATTATCCGATTTATATTCAGGCAGTATCATACGACGTCTGTAAATTAAGTGATTAGACTGGAAACGTAGCGTTCGATCTGGCAATACTGGAAGCGCCGGGCGTGGAGGGGAGATAGGGGAACATGTGATACGCCTTCAGTACAAGTTTGAACTCGCTCGAGTCATATGGTTGTCCGTAGTGATTTTTTTTGCGAAACAGTTTACAGTTTTTCATACAGTGTTCTAAAAATGAATGACATCAATTTCGAGCAACGGTGTGCTTATCAGGTTTTGCTTCAGACTTGGGCACAGTGCAATGGAAACTCTTGCTAAACGTGTGTTTTGTCAATAGCCCAGGTTTTTCGGTAGTTTGAGGCATTTTCAGAAGGGAGAGAGTCGATTGAAGATGAACCACGAAGCGGAAGGTCTTCATCCTCAAGAACCGATGAAAGTATCGACAGGATCCGGGATCTTGTGCGGTCAGATCTTGACAGTCAGAATAGTCGGGAAAGAGTCAAATTGTAATTATAATTGATTAAAAAAATTAAAGAAAATCTGTCCCATCGCTTAATGTACAGACCTCGTATGTAGTCATGATGGCGACATTGTCCTCGATACTGCACGTCCAGCGCCAACGACGAGACAGTGTTGCCATTTTCCCTCCACATGAAAATGGCCTTAAAACTTGGATTATCTAAAGTTCCAAAGTAGTTCATCTCAGTAGTTGACGATTCTTTAGTTAAACATAAATTTCGGTTACATAAATTACATCAAGGTTGTTTTTTTAGGGTTGCAGAATGGGGGCAGAGGCAGTAATGGCGCTGATGGAAGCCGATGAGAATACCGAGCCTTGCGTCATCTCACTAGACGGTAATCAAGCTGTCAGAGTACCTCTTATGGAATGTGTCAAACAAACCAAGGCTGTAGCTCAGGTATCTCATTCTATTCTACTCGATTTTTCTTCATGGTTAACTATTACTATCCCATATTCTCGTTAGTCTTAGGGTGCATTGTAACCCTATGATGTACTTCTTTATACGACTTCTGTAATATTTTTATTTCATTTATCTGTTATGTGGTCTCTATCCCTTTTTTAGGCTATGGCGGACAAGCAGTGGGAGAAAGCGGTATCTCTAAGAGGCAAGTCATTTATGAGAAATTTGGAAACGTACAAGTTACTGACCCGTTTGAAGCCACCAAAGGACGCTTTTGATGCTGAGGGTCATGGCAAGGTAAGTGTTTGTTTTTTTTTTAGATTGCTATCGATTGTTATGTTTTTAGTGCATGTTTTAACGCATGTGATATTTGCACGACACTACTATATCGTTCGTGTAGATATATCTATATGTAAATGTGAATGTCTATCAGCATCACGTCTGAACCACAAAATAGAAAGACGTAAAAATGTGTGCGCGTTTACTAATTTATTCCCAAAGAAGGTTGTCGGCACGGTTTTATCCGCGAACGCTTAGACGATTTTGCAAACAATTGTCGCGGCCCAAAATCTCCGGCGTCAACGTCAAGCCGGCCTCAGCGCGGCCTGCCATCGTCCCAATCTACCTGTAACCGTTGTTTATTTTGCATTAGCTGTTACCTGCGGCTTAGTACGCTTTAAACTGTTAACTAATGGCGTTTCTAAACGGGCAATATTTTTCTAGCTCGGCCAAATTTTTTGACATTTCCGACGTATTCTCATGTGGTGTTGTCAGGTTGCTAAATTATTGGAATCCTACTTAATTTAATGTATGTAAGCTGTATTCCTATAATTTCGTCAGCCATTCGTGTCTAATTTTATAGACCCTCTGATAAGAAATTCTGACTAGGGATATGTCTACACATTATAGACAATATGTCCAAGATATCCTCGAGATATAGCAGACATATCCATTATATAAGACATAGCTTTTAAGCTATGCTATATTGCCGTACTTAGGTAACAGGCATTTAAATTCATTTATAGCCTTTTTAAAAATTTGACGCCAATACATTTCTTTTATAATATTAATTTCAAAATGTATCATTGAATATTTCTTTTAACAAAAATAGTTATTTTTTCAGTTTGTCAAATATTTCATATCAATTACATTTCCTAAGCATTAAGGCAATAAATCAATTTATCAAAGTAAAAAATCAGTCGTTTTCAAACTATACTGGTTTTATTTTTCTGTACTGCCTTTTCACCCTTTATTACCTATTATAATGTTTACTTATTCGAGAATGAGTATTTATCATTATAAATAATTAGTTTTTCCTCGAAAATAGTAATTTTAAAAAATATTCTTCGTTTAACTTGACATATAAAAAACAAGCCGCTTTTACTTTAGTCATGTAATTATTTTTGAATATAATTATTAATTTTAGTCATATAACTATTGAATTGAACTATCCAAAATGATGAAAATATTTACTTTTGTGTTATTTATGTCAATTTCATTATAAGTAAATTATATTAAAATAAAGTTCATACTTATTTTACATAACCGCGTTTTTTCCGTGAAAAAATAATATTAATGGGTTCTGATATCTACGGAGAAGGTAGTAAATTTGTTGTTGCAGGGTATAGAAGCAGTAAGTCACATGGTACTGCTTTATTCACAATTACAGATGGAACGTCATTTATTTTCGGCCTCGACAACAAAATTATCCGAAATATTGTACAAGTCGTGTCACGAATTTGCAAGCACCTTAGCAAAATATAATCTGATTTAATAGAAACTCTGTTCTCATTTTAAGTTTGGTATTGCTTTTTACATTTTTCAATCAAATCTAATGCGTATGTTGCTTTTATGCATAATCTGTAAAAAACTGGCGAAACCTGTTTTTGTACTAAGCCTATTTCATTTGCAAAAAGTTGTCAAGTTGCAAGTTAGGATGTATTCCTTGTTTAGAGGTATTTTAATTTGTTTTACCTTTAATTTTTGTAATGCTTACACTGTATTGGTTTTGGTAGAGCCACAGTCTTTCAAGCATATCCGTTCCTTCTGGGGTAAGTATATCGACAACCAGTAATTGTATCTTTCTATTGCTTAGCCTCTGCTGTAGCACATTTGATTTTTTAGGTAGGTTTCAAATTATGTCTTGGGTGGCCCAGTGGAGAAGATCAATTTCAATAAATGGCATTTGTGAAAAAGTTCGCTCATAACCGCGGAAAGGAAAATATTTTGCGCCTATTATCAACTTTGTAACTTCCACCCCCATGCGATACCTCATTTTGAAGCTACTTATGAGTAGTTTATGAAGCTAGAATATAAAACACTATTCTTCAAAATGGTGGACTCGCAGGTTGTCAAAGTTGATAAGTTTATATCAACAGCATAGTGTGTTATATCAATCATCTTCTTTTGAAAGGTTCTATCAAAAAATGTAATTAAATATGGTATATTCCACTCAAACAAAAAATGGTCAAAATCTGTCAAATTCTTTGAAGTGAGTAACCGATGTTCTATTACATTTACGGGTAAAAGAAGCTTGATTCAATCTACAAAAATGCTAAACTTTAGAAGTTAGTGATTTTATATTCTAGGTTATAAACTACTAATATACTTATACTTTATAATAATAAGTATAATAAGGTATGCGACTTCTGATCCCAAGTAAGACTTAAGGGTTGGATTTCATTCCGCCGGTGAAAGTGACAAGACAAAGGCAAAGGCAAAGGCAAATAATGCCCGCCTCCAAATACACATCGACGGGTCCGAGTGAACATTTTCCAATTTTGTTTTCACTGGCCCACCCTGTATAATATCATTTTGGGAAATACTATCTTAAGCGGTATACATTTCTTACAATTCAAATATGGGTGTTTCTCAGGTAGGACATGTATACAGCCATTGATGATTTCAGCTTGTCTTTTGTGCAAATCGCTTTTGGTTTTGATAGGCAGCATATTATTTCCATTAGTAGAGTAGTTAGCCAGCTTGTATTCAGCATTTACTTGGTATCGATTCTCAATTAAATGCCTTCAAAAATGTGGAATGGGGGTTATATATTACTTCATCGTTTTTTATAGGGAATTGAAATTGCGCGAAAAATATATGAGGCGTAAAATATATCAGTGGGATGTGGTCTCCAATTTTGCATAAGATGCCGAAAATCGATATTTCTTGGTTTTTAATTTTTATGAATATTTCAGCTCAAATTTGGATCAATGTTTAGGCGAAGACATTTAATACTGCTATCATATTGAATGGATTTATTCAAAAGTTCCAGGCCCCCATATTGCCTCTCTAAATTTTTATGATTCACTGTTGTATAAAATGATTTTTGGAAATTTAGCGTCGATTTATGAAAGTATAGCGTCCAATACTTTCATTAAGTCCATATCCATACTTATAAAAGTAAATTATTGTAGTATCATCTGCATATAAACCAAAGGCAATGAAAAAACTGTATTGACATGAATAAGTTTCAGGTGTTACATTAACATCAGTTCACTAAAATCGAAAAATACATATTAGAACACTTGACTAAGAAGGTATAAAAAACAAACCTTAATGGCAAAACCTAAGGGAAATCGCACAAATAATATTTCGTCATATGCTCAAAAATGAACAAATTGTGCTTGGGCCTCGCTTATTTTTCGCTTTATTTGTCATGCATACCCGCCTTACTTCAGTATTCTTGTACGACTAACCTATATCCGCAGGAAGGCTACGTATTAGCAGTGATGCACATCGGAGCTCCAGCTTGCGGCATGAATGCAGCTGTGAGATCTTTCGTCAGGAACTGCATATACAGGGGGGACACGGTGCTTGGTATCCAGGATGGTATCGAGGGGCTGATCGCTGGCAGTATCAAGAATCTAAGTGAGTATAAAGATATAGCTTATTACCATATTATTAACAGATACTGTGGTGACTCGATGTTGACCTTTGAGATCATATGAAGGTTACCCCTTAACAAAAACTGTTCAAAGAAAACTATTTATGGATTATTATATATGTTATTTGGAGGCATATTTATAAAGTATAAACATTTTACAGGGTTTTCCAATTTTGACCCACATATCAACGTTGGTTTTTCTTAAATGGAATGCCCTGCTTTTTATTCCAGATTCGTATCGACCCTTCTACAGTAAAAGAACAAGACTGGTATAACATACATATGGGTTTTGATTATTAGTTGTTGTTGTTGTTGTTGTTGTTGAAGATCTATTTACCATTAATGCTACAATGTCAATTTTGTATACTGATTCGGTTACATATTTTTCTTCAATCCATTTTCTGTAATTTTACATTCTTGTCAATTAAAATTGAAGTTACGTCACAATGTATTTTGATTATTCATAAAGTGATTTTTTAATTTCACCTTAAACATTTTTAAATTCGAACTTTGTTTAATAACATTATTCAACTTATTAAATTCAAATACTCCCTTTTGAAGTATAGATTTACTAGTTATGCTACTATTACAATTTTGCAGATTTTGCCTCTAGTTTCGTAGTAATGATAATGACTATTTAATTTTGTGAAGTTCTCTAAATGTGGTGGTAATAAATGATATTTTAAGTTGAATATGAAAACGAGAACTAAATAATATATGAAATTTTTCACATCCAACCACTGCAGTTCTTCTAACATAGCCTTAATCCTAGTATATTTGTTTTAATTTAAAATGATTCTTATAGCTTTATTTTGTAGAATTTCTAATTTTGAAAATATGTTTTCATTTGCTGTAAACAAGATGGTTGAACAATATTAAAAATGGGGAAGAATTATAGTGTTATACACAATTTTTTTGGGATACATACTAAGATTATGAGAAACTCTCTAGAAGTAATTTATCTTTTTCGATATTTTTGAAATAATGTATTCATAATGTTCGTGAAACAGTATCTTACTATCCACATATATACCAAGATATTTAAATGACTCGACTACTTCAATTTTTTCATCATTTCACAATTGTAGTGTCACCTAAATGTTTCCCTATTGACATACATTTTGTTTTATTAGTTTTTAATTTAAGTTTATTGACATTTCATAATTTTTTCAATATCACTGTTTATATAAATAATAAATAGTTGCAGCCCTTATTTACTCCCCTACTGATATATTTTGAACACTTGACATAATATTTCCAAATTTAGTTTTTTTACTTCTAGTTACTAAATAGTTTTGTAAAATGTGTAATACTGAAGCCATAGTGATGCAATTTCATTAACAATTTTTCCCTATCTATAGTCTCAAATCCCCTTTTGAAGTCTAAAAATATTGTTACAATATATTCTTTCTCATCTATACCTCTTTTCCAGTCTTCCACCACCATTTGGATTGCCGTTTCTGTGGAACATTTTTTTCTAAAACCAGCTTGATTTTTTATCTAAATTTTGGTTTCTTCAATGAATTCTATGATTTGTTCATATATTATCCCTTAGAACAGCTTCTCGACATCGGGCAAGACATTAATGGGTATTTTATACAAAAATATAAAAGTTTGACAGCGTTTCTGCTATGTGGACAGGTGGAGTCGCGGATTTTGTGTAAAATATTTTTTTCTTACGCAAAATGTATATTCGCAAAAAAATTAAATGGAACACCCTATGTCTACTGCTTTATACCTACTATTTCAGGAAACTGGATATTTCTCTATTCAAACAAGTCACATCATCAATGGAAACAAGTAAGGGATTATTGTCAATCAAGCTTATACCTTTCAAGAAACCAAATAATTCAAGCTTTTGTGTTTGAATTAATTATCACAGATTGATATTATAAAATTAATTTTTTGGGATGTCTGAAAATGACGTCTATAAGTAAACATAACTGAAATTTAAACTATATGTACTATTATAGGAAATGTGTTTCGGTCACACTTTCCGGTGTGTGTTCGCTGATATTTTGAAACGCCTCTTTTATTCCCTGCTTCCTATCCTCTACATTCGAAGTCTTCGATTGTGTGCCATTTCTTAGAACTAATATGAGGACGCAGAACCTTCTGTAGGTCTATTAAGCTTTAATTTCATAGGAAAATTTAACTGTTTTTCAATATCACATGTATCGCGTACATAGTTCGTCGATCATATAAAGGATTTCAAAGAAAGCAAAGCTACTACTTTTACAATGTTTTGTAGCAATAATTGTAATGTATTTTTTCCGAATAACAAAATGCGTGATTAACGAGTATTCAATTTGCCATGGACGAGTTTTGTTTTGGAATACAAAATGCATTGTATGCTACTTTTTATCGGGGTTTTGTGGTCTGGTATCCTTTACTGTTTAGACAACAAACCTTACATCATTGCGTTATTGCGTTACTAAACTAATGCTCAGGTCGCGTACCGCCTTAGCTCTGAGAAATAATTAATTGATCTGTTTCCTTTTACACCGAAAAATATCAGTTAACATGTTTATCTTCCATCCAACTCGAGATCAAATTTGAGAGCCATTTTATTTGGAGTATATACTGTCTTTAACACTTGACTGGATGATTTTGTAGGTTGGTCCGACGTGACGGGCTGGGTAAGTCACGGTGGCGCCTACTTGGGCACAAAGCGAACCCTTCCTGGAAGTCGTTTAGGTCTAATTGCGTCCAGGTTGCAGGAGTTCAAAATCCAGGGACTGCTCATCATTGGTGGATTTGAGGTATGTTGCACATTGTTGTCGCTCTTTCTTTCTTTACAGAGCGTATCGGTCAGGCAATAATAAGCAGGTTTTCATAGTAACACGTATACCAGAACCTTAAGATAACCGAGATATTAAGTTCCGAAAAAAGCTATTCCGACCCTGCCCCCCCCCCCCCCCCATCTTCCTTAGTCAGAGGGTATGATATTTTGTGGTGTTATGACTTTGTGAGTCAGTGGTGTGTAGGTTAACGTAGTTTATAACCAAACCCCATTTGAAAACCCAAATTGGCTAATTCCTACAGCAATAACTTAGTTATCGATTTGATGTTAATGTACTGTAAGCCTCCTCAAGATCCTAATGATACTCCGTGAGTGTATTCGAGTATTCAGAACGTAGCCGTTGTCCTCCATCAGAGCTGCTTAGGTTTCTTTATATCGTGCTAAAACCGTCTGGGTTGAGACAGTTACCCTGTAGAAGACCTAGACAGCCCCATATGTAGCGATTTTAGGAAAAATGTAAGCAAACTCGTGTTTTTGAATCAAACAGCGACAACAAACAATACATGTGACAGGGCAGTACTTGAAATGCCGTACTAAATTAATAGTATTTTCATTCAATTTCTTTTTTACTTTGTTATTTCAAACGTGGTCATTTCTGGAAAGGAAAGTCCCAAATTTCAGGACACCATGTGTACTTACGAATAAGAAGACGGGATTTAAATGGACTATCATTTTAGGTCTTAAAAAACCTGATAGATCTTGAAAGATCACAAAGTTACGCTATCTAGAAGTATCTTATTTGGAAAATTATCCTGTTGGAGCGTGAGATTGAGTGATGACGGCACATGACACCAGTTACCATCGCTACCACAAAACGATGCGCCCGTTGGGGTGCTCTGTATTTACGATTTACGATAAAAATGTGTAAAAAATTGACCTACAAATACTCTATTGCACCTAGATGTAGAAATACAGCTATATCAGCTCCAGATAAAATGTTCACCTATGCCAAAACATAGAGGGATTAGAAGGAAGTGGTGTAGGGTAATAAACAGGGAAAGGGATGATAAAATTGCCTCATTCGGAAATATTGTGTTGCTGTAAATATTTTGATATTAGGAGGTATTCAGTTGTTATGGTAAAAAGGATCAAAATAAATACTAGTGTATGTGAATAGTGTCACGTTTCAAAATAATCACCTTTATTGGGATGTGGCAAAATAGATAGCGGTGTCGAATGTATGTAAAATTGTTATATGTCATTGTATTACTTACCAATCGACACATGACGCTATATGACAACAATAGGTAATTCATATTTTTTCCGAAATTAGTGAATTCAAAAGGGGCTTAAAGCTTATCAGACACCCAGTTAAGAAATATATTAATTTTGCGATATTATACAATAATACATAAAGTATACATTGAAAACACAAAAGCTGTAATTTGAGCGCAGTTGACAATTTTTTTTGGCGAACATATCCGTCATACTGGATAGACTTTTTGAGAATAGATATTTAATTCGTTACATGCGATCTTAAAAAGACTTGAAACATAATTTTGATCGCGATTAAAACATTTTTGCGAACATAGCAGCTATTTCGATTTTTGAACAATCTATATCAAGTTAGTTATAAGTGACCCTAAAAGCATCTAAAACATACATTTTTTGCTCAATCAAGACATTTTTGGCCAGGACGTACACCATAATTAAACCGCTATTTTGATCTTTGGCAAATGGATATCATTTCAAATTTCAATGTATTCACATAATTTTACTATTATGCTTTTTTCTGATATTTGGGTCAAGTGGAAGAATAGTTACATGAGCTAAACTTCGCCCTTTTATAATGTAGTTATCATAAATAACGACAGTTATTATTATATTCGTTATCAGCGATCTAAAAAGCATAGAAACGGACATTTTTATGAATCTTTCTAAAATTGGTCAAAACTTTTGAGCCGCTATGGCGTGTCGCATGCGGGCTTAATTATAAATGTTAATACGTGCCAAAGCATAAATGGTTCTGCATAGTGTATTTAACCATTATTATGTCCACCTTTGGAAAATTAGTGGAATCAGTACACAGGAAACTATCTTCCTTTTTATTTATTGTATATCTATAGTATCTCACAGCAGTCTATCCAAGGTACAAAAAAATATGGCGACTGGTCAGCTTGAGGGCTAAGGATGAATGTGATATGCAAAACCCGTCCTATCGTCTGGCCATGTCATTGTCGTAGTAGCCCAGAAGCCGAACTTATGTCATGTGACGTCACGACCAAACTACGACGCGCTACTACAGCACCCAACACAGAAAATGTCATAACTTCCTTAAATTTCAAGTTATTGGAATAATTCTTTCAGATTTGTGATAAACACCAAACAATTTTAATATTATCCGGAAACTAAGTCCTGCATTGCTTAATTTTATAGGCCTTCCAAGCGGCCATCGATCTTATGGAAGGCCGCCAAGAGCATCAAGCTTTCCGTATCCCCATCATGGTCATCCCCTCCACCATAAGCAACAACGTACCCGGTACTGAGTTTTCTCTAGGCTGCGACACGGCGTTGAACGCCATCACTGACATTTGTGACAGGATCAGGCAGTCCGCTCAGGGTACCAAGCGTAGGGTGTTCGTCGTTGAGACTATGGGCGGATATTGTGGATACCTGGCAACGTTGGCAGGTAAGGTTTGATCTATTGAAAATGTATTTAAAACAGAAATATATGAGTTCCGTGTGTTGAAAGGCCGCCTTACTCTCAGGGTGGAAAAAACAATAGTGCTAATAGAAAAGTAAAAAGGCAATAATTCATTTATTGGGAAAATTGACTAAGTAATCTCTATTTATTCTCAGGTTTGGCCGGCGGAGCAGACGCAGCTTACATCCACGAAGAAAAATTCACAATCAAAGACCTGCAACAAGATGTCTACCACATGGCGACCAAAATGTCTGAAGGCGTACAACGTGGTCTGATTCTGAGAAACGAAAACGCGTCCGAAAACTACAATACTGATTTCATCTACAGGTTGTACTCTGAAGAAGGAAAAGGATTGTTCAGTGCCAGGATGAACGTTCTAGGTAAGCATTGTAGAAAAAGAACATTTTCGAATCCCTCCATATGCTTAGCAATTGATTTTTTTGTAAAATTTTCACTTTGCTTAAAGTTCGTTAGCACAAAGAAGCTCGACTATCGCAATTTTTGTAATCATTATCATTCCGGTCACGTGGATAAGCGTTCCTTGAGAATTGAATATCGTTTAAGAATCTCATTCTCTCCTTGGATTTTAAACAAACAATAACGCTTCCTTGAAGTACGTTCAATGGAGTATTTTGGACAGAGGCACTTGTCGATGTCAAAAAGATTAGTTTTTGCTGCCTTATCTATTTATCATTTTGATGATAAATTTTGGACGGAGACATTGTTTTTTAGATGTCTGCCCGATAATCCTTGGTTCATCCATAGCTTGGAAATTTTTACATTAGATCACAGCTTGATTAGCGACAGGCAGTACGGTTTCCGGCACCAACGATCCACAGGGGACCTCCTAGCTTACGTCACGCAATTGTGGAGTAAACTCATCCAGTCTCATGGTGAGGCTCATGTCGTTGCTCTTGACATCACGAAAGCGTTCGATCAGCTGTGGCACGCTGCCCTCTTAAGCAAACTTCCATCCTATGGCCTCCCAGAAAAGCTTTGCAGATGGGTGTCTGACTTTGTCTCTGGCCGCAAGATATCCGTCGTAATTGACGGGGTCTCCTCTTCATCCCACAACGTCAACGCGGGTGTTCCCCAGGGATCGGTCTTGGCTCCAACACTGTTTCTCTTACATATCAACGACCTCCTTTCCTGCACTATCAACCCAATCCACAGCTTCGCTGATGACAGCACTCAACATGCAGGAATTCAGAGTGACAAGCCGATCTCTGCCGCTGAGCTGGAAAAAAAAGACTAGCGACGACTTCTTTTCTGACAAGATACCTGGAGGCTATCACTGCTTGGGGACGCAACAATCTTGTACAGTTCAATGCTTCCAAAACACAGTTCTGTACTTTGACGAACAAAAAGCGTCCTAGCGCTCATATAGTTTCCATGGACGGCCGAGTTCTACCAAAGAACCATTCATTTCGACTGGTCGGAGTCCAGATCACCGAGGACCTGATCTGGCACGAACACATCTCGTCAATAGCTGCAGCTGCTGGGAAAAAGCTAGGCTATTTGTTTAGGGCTAGGAAGTACTTTTCTCCGCATGACCTTCTCACTCTATACAAGGCCCAGATAAGGCCTAGCCTCGAGTATTGCTCACACGTTTGGGCTGCTGCCGCCCCGACTACATTATCCATGCTCGATGCTGTCCAGAGTAGGGCGGTCCGACTGATCGATTACTCTTCTCTAAGAGACAGTCTCGGGACTCTTTCGCACCGACAGGCCGTCGGCGATCTAGCTCTTTTCTATCGCTACACCTACGGGCTTTGCTCCTCAGAGCTCTCTTCCATGATGACGCCGCGCGATGTGCCTGCCAGACAGACCCGCCTGACTTCGGCGTCCCATCCTAACCGTGTCAAACTTCGTACATCCAGAACTGGCCGATACGACCGCTCCTTTGTCCCGAGGGTGTCTAGATTGTGGAACAATCTACAAGATTGAGCTTTTCCCAGTTCTACTAAGCTTAGGCAGTTCAAAAATCGTATTAACAAAATTTCTTTGGGATCATCATAGCAGCCGCGGTGCTCCGGCATTTAGGATTCTGCCTGCGCGGCTGTTTCGATATAAAAAAAAACTATTATGCCAAGAACGAAAAAGATTTGTTGTTTTTGACAATCGGTCTAGTGACAGCGTAAAGCGCAAAAAAATAGAATTTGTTCAAACTTCGGTTTTTGACGTGTCAGAGGCTCCTAATCATTTTCAGAAAAAATTTTGTTGTAGTTAAAAATTGGGAGTTTGGAGTTAGTAAGGAGTAAAAGTCACTAGCTGATTTTAATAATGGAGAGATATAATTCACAACAAATTTAAATTTTTAGTAATAAATTATCACAATAAAGCGAAAACTGGCATATTTTTCAAAACAAAGTACACCAAATAGTAGAAAAGGAAGTAAGATTATAAGTACAAAAGCATGATTGCGTAATCAAGTCATTGAAGTAATGATAATTTCAGTTTTTGTCGAAAAGCTGGTAATTATTTTTTATACATTTTTGGTAAAGAATTACATATGTCGGAAGTATGCTTTATGTATTGACTTCGTTGAAAGTAATTTACACCACATTCAATACACTTCTACATCCGCCAAAACCAGTCTTTAAACCACTTCTGCCAAGTTTCTCCAGGGAGTGCGGCACAGTCGTTATCCTAAGCCCTCAGAAGGTCCTCATCGCTAGAAAACCGTTTTCCTTTTAGCTTCATTTTCACTTGCGGAAACAGTGCAAAGTCGCAGGGAGCAATATCTGGCCTGTAAGGAGGGTGCTCAGTAAGTTTCAGTCCAGTATTGGTCAAACACTCGGTGCAGGCTTTGGCGCGGTGAGCTGGAGCGTTGTCATGGTGGAGGTACCAAGTGCCCATTTTTGACGTTGGCCGCAAGTTTTTCATAGACTCTATGACTTTAGGCAGGCATTGTGTCGAGTCCTCTGCTCTTCCGTCAGACTATACGGTACCCAGAAAGAATAAAGTTTCCTTACGTGAAAACGGTCATGCAGAATTGAATGAATTGCTGGTGCACGAAGGTGTAAGGTCTCTGCTGTTGTTGATATGTCACCCTCCGGTCTTCGTCAAGCATTTTCCTCTCAGCAGTAATGTTTTCCTCTGTTACTGACGTTGGCGGCCTTCCTTTCCTCTCAGCGTCCTCCAGAGTGAAATTGCCCCTTTAGTCTGTACCACCTGAATATAGTCGTACGATGAGGCCAGTCATTCTTTAATGCAAGCGTCATTTCTTCTAAGCACTGGTCTAAGCTTAAACCACGCGTAAAGTTATACCGTAAAACTGCCCGTGTCTCAGTACGTGACCACGATGCCATAGTCCGCACTTTACACTGTCAATACGAATGAACAACTGAATCAACAGACGTGCTTCTAGCGGCTAGTATACACTCATGGACATCTCTCAACATGCAGCCCCCTGCTTCCGTTTGTTGTCATATTGCAAAACTTTTATTGTACCCTTTGTATTATACGCTTCCAACCTCGATAATTTTACGCACACATTTCACACATCATGGATTTCTCCATACAGACGTTTCTCGTGTGTCTGTTGCGAGACTCCTTCCTTAGTGCATGGAGCACCGCCTGCGTATGACTGCATCGCCGGCATTCTCGATCTCGAGTTATGCTATCGCTGGTTGACTGGTGTGGTTCAACACCATTGCCAGATGGTCGATACTCGAATTCGTAAAGCAAACTAGCAATAAAAATTGTATGCTGCAACCCCACATGAGCGTATTTATACATGTTCTATTTATTTATTTTACTCACAATCTGTAAATTCTCCCTTGAACGTCCTACAATGAAGCGTTACTATTTGTTTAAGATACAAACCATTTGTTCTCTTGAAAACTAGGTCACATGCAACAAGGTGATTCGCCAACTCCATTCGATCGTAACTTGGGTACCAAAATGGCTTCTAAAGCGGTAGACTGGATGGTTTGCCAGCTGAAGAACAACATGGACAAAGATGGCAACGTCAACTGTACGGATCCAAATACGGCGTGTCTCCTTGGCATCGTGAAGAGGCAGTATAAGTGCACGAGTTTGGCTGAGCTGAAGGCACAAACTAACTTCAAGTAAGTAATTTTACATTTTGCTGTAGTAGTGGGACTATAAAGAACAGAAAACTCGCAAGGTCTATGCTGTCAAAACCCAAGCACTGTACTCAGCACCTGCTTTTCCCGGCGAACATTATCCGTTAGAATATACCCAATTCAGTTGGAAGCCGTCTATGCGTGAAAACTTAAACACAAGATACAACTTTTCCGGGATGCAGTCAAACGCAATATTATGTCAGGTTAGAAAGAACGCCTGACTTTATTTTGCGTTTGATTGCACATGCTCGCAACTGCATACATGTCAACCACCAGCTTGTGGTGTCAACGTTGCCACTTCTCGCACTATTGACGCAGGTCATGGGACTTACTTTTCCGTATTGAGAAATTCCGATAATACAAAAACTTGAGGTTTAGCGGAGATCTTTCTTTGGAAAGTTGATGTCATGCTTTAGAATAAAAGAGATGTGTGGAAACAGAAAATGGAGGTTAATTTTTTATTAGTTCTAAGGGAATTACCGCGATCCTACTTGGCAGCAAGACTGTGACGATGGAAATTGTAAGTGAACGTCGAAATCCAGCATATGGTTGGGCATCTTGAAGAATATGTTGGTCAATGTGTTTGCGTTTTAGAAAGAAGAAAGGAACACATTTTGCGAGATACAGTTTCAGGCTTGTAGTATCAGGGCAATAGTCCGTGTATTAAAAAAAAACAAATAGGATACAATCTGCCCACTGCATTATAACATCTGTTACACTGACTACTGTATTTATTTTGTCAGAAGGTCAGACTCCGCAGGGATATTTTTGCTGAACTTCTACACCTGTCTATACTTGTAGGCTTGTGTATTGTGTTCCACCTCGTTAGACTGGCGAGCACCAACCAAGAGTATTCAAAACTAAATTAGTATGTTTCTGAAAATATGTAAAATTGGTGACTTTAGTTGAAACATATACGAATGTAGGAGAATATTGTAGCCGCAGCATTAAAGTTACCGTCTCATGATTCATCTAGAGAACCCCTGAATTCGCCAATTTTTTACATCTTCAGTAACATACTAATTTAGTTCTGAATTCTCTTTATTGGTGCTCGCCACCCTTAGTACAGTTCTTCTCGGCGGTTGACTTGAGAACTTTTATTTTGAAATCATTCTAGTGGTCATTATGATACATATCACTGTCCTTTCATGGCAACAAGTTTGTAGATTTGAAGACTGTATAGGCTTCAGTTATCTTGCACGCTCGACTACTTCAAGCGACAAATTCAGTAACGTAATCACTTTTCACGCTATACGCTCTCATCTGTTGCTCCTTATAGAATTCATTTTTATTCCCTAAAATTAATATTTATGAATTTTTGTCCTTACTGATCCGTTTTCCTTTTCAGCCAAAGGATCCCGAAAGAGCAATGGTGGCTGAAACTAAGGCCGTTGCTGCGTATCCTGGCGAAGCACGACTCCACCTACGAGGAAGAAGGCATGTATATGACAATAGAGGAAAGGGTTAACGCAGACCCGCTCTACGGTTAACAGGATTGACCGCATCGGGCGTCGCGCGGTCTCGAATAGCACAGATATTTTTACATAATACGATTATTATAATAGGACAGACCTCGGAGTTGCAACTAAAAACATAGATGGGATGAAGGAAAAAGAATCTGTTGCGTCGAAATATCCGTAGTAATTGACGGTTTCTCCTCTTCCCTTGACCCGCAGCATCAAAGCTGCACGATCAATCTCATCCACAGCTTTGTCGATGACAGCACTCAACACTCAGGCATTCAGTGTGACAAGCCGATATCCGCTGATAAACTGGTGAGAAGAAGACTAGTAGCGACTTCCTCTCTGACGATAAACCAGGAAGTTATCGCCGCTTGGGGTCGCAACAATCTGGTACAGTTGAATGCTTCCAAAACACAGTACGCTACCATCAATGTTCGATGAATGGTCAAGTTCTGCCAAACAGCCAGTCATTTTGGCTGGTCGGAGTCCAGATCAACGAAGGCTTAATGTGGCATGAACACATCTCGTCAATCGCAACATCTGCGGCTAGCAGTATTAGTAATGGCAGGGAGGCGAAGCCAGGCCATTTCTGCCGCCCCCAATTGCACCAACACTCTAGTTCACTAATCTGTCGAATCTTCCTGATCTCTTAATAGAGGTCAGGATGCCCGATTAAAGCAACTTCACCAGCAAAGTCCATCGTCTCGAATATCTTAGCCCTTGGACTGCAATATACGGGGCAATATCCCAGGGATAAGTGTCTGTTCAGTCTGCAGTGGACAGTAAGAACCCAAAGCCCTGTTTGTACAGCTGTCGCCAACTTGTCAGTGATCGTGTCCAAGACCCCGACACACAAATTCTGCTACACTATATAGACGTAATTCATACTGCCGGATCTCAGACACAGTCACCGACCACTGTGCGAACAAACCGCAAAAGTTGAGCGATTCTATTCCTCTGTCCAGTAGCCAGCCTTTCCGACCTTTGTTGCGGCTCGATATAAACCTTTTGGCCTGTCTGCAGTTATCTCTCTCTCGCTACGCCTTTCCCAGGTCCCTAACACCCATTGATTCAGGACGGTGTTGACCTGGCTCCTGCTTATGTCAGGATCGATATAGGTGCTCCTGAGCTCCAGCCTAGCCAGGCGATCAGCTTTCTCGTCGTATAAAGCCAGTGCAGGACTTTTGGTTTTAGTCCTGCCGACTACCTGACGCGTCTGCCATGTGATACTCGTAGCTATCGACTTCTCGTAGATATGGTCGACATGCTGCTTCAATCACAATTTACAATACAGCGCCAGGCCCAGGTATTTTACTTCTTGACCGAGAGTCAGTGGTCACCGTGGATGGTGGTAGATAGACATCTTTTATCTTCCGTCTCTTGATGAAGAGGACCAGTCAGTCTTAGAAGGATTGACTGAGAGCCCTGTCTTCACACACCAAGTTCGTAAATATTGCAGATTGTGGAACAGTTTTTTCCAGTTCTGCTAACCTTCATTCGACTTCGCTGTATTGAGAGATTACTCATAACTGTTAAAATCTGTTTGACATTCATCCATGAATTTCTTCATGAACTGAGTTCATGTAAACAGGAACTTGAAGTCAAATGCGTGTTTAAACTACTCCGTGGATTTCTTCAAGCAATTAGATAGACGTTTATTTTTAGTATGATCTACTAAACTGTTTTTACTTCTTTATTCTATGTTTAGTTGTACTCCATATAGGGGTCTAATGTGATTTTTTCTGGAAACATATTTATTGTTTTTTTTTTGTTTACACTCATTTTTCCGCTTTACTCGTGCGCGCTACGTTGATTTTTAGTATTATTTAATAATAGTGATTTTGAAACAAACGTATATTATTGATATTGTGTAACCGAGATTATATAACTATTTTGAAACAAGATTATAGTTTGGATTACCTGCTCCATATTCCCACAATCCCTAGAAACAGAATTACTTACTGACATCGACAAATTATACAGGTTGTTTGGAGGGTGAATAGCTAAACGGAAGTGGCAGATCCCCGAGGCTATTGGCTATTTACAACGCCTAATTAGTTTTAAGGAGAAATAATGTTTTTTTCTTTTTTTGAGAAAATCCCCAGGAGTTTCAATATTTTTTCTATTTACGGTCGCAACGGCACAAAATTGATTTTATTCTTAAATCAACTGTTACTTCATCCAGATTCAACCAACATTTGATACAAACACTTGAAGAACAAGTAACCGTGGAGCAACAAACTTCCTTAAATCAATGGAAAAAAATGTTACGTCAACTTTCAATTGTAATTAAAACTTCTCTAGACAATCTTTCTAACCACATGTAACGTAAATAATTATATAACTCAATAAAAAATAAATTTAGTTTCAACTATTCGTGATTGTGGATGCAGCCAAATCATTCCAATTACCTAATTGAGTAGGTATAAACTTCTGTCTCATTCTAGCACAGCTAAACCTATTGTTCTCATTTTGCTCGGTTTATTGTAAATCTTGTTCAAATTGAGTTCCATTATTTCTGATAGATGCATAACTTATTTCTCTGGTGGTATACTGTAGCGTTATTTCTCGTTTCATTATCACAAAAGCATTATTAATTTTTCTATTAATTGTTCTTTTGTATTAATGGATGCGGAATACACTTTAGCGCGGCCCCAGACGTAAAAATCAAGCGGAAGCAAGTCCGGCGATCTTGCAGGCCATCTCTGCCAATCCTAACGCTTGGAAATGCATTGTCTAGATCTCTAGATGCTCCCGCACTAGTTCTTCATTGTCAAAATTTGGAGCTTCGTTCATGAGCTCCGGCAGATAATTTATTAAAAAATCTAGATAATTTTGCCCATCCAAGTTGTCCGGTAAATAATGTGGACCAATAAGTGTATTACCGATTACATCTGCCCAAACGTTTACCGAAAATTTCCGTTAAAAGGACACTGCTTTCTTCATTTTTGGGTTTTCATCTTTTGGGACCCAAAATTGCAAATTATGAATATTTTCAATTACACTCGGAATACTTTTTAAGAAGCCTCGGTTATCAATATCCATACGCGTCTTTCGTAGTTATTTTCTTCTTGCACAGGAGTGTAATGAAAGGGTTGCTGTCTATTGGCACAAAGAACAGACCACACCTTCCATACGCTTAGTTTTAGCGTTGCAGCTACAGACCGGATGCTCGTTGTAGGATCTGCATTAAAAACTTCCAGAATGCGTTCGTCACCAGCAACGTGACGTTGTCTACCAACTCCAGATTCACGACGATTCAAAAGTATGACGATTAGTTTGGCGTCTATTGGGAAAACGTTCTAGGTAAATCCTTTTTGCTGCCAGGCCATTTCCATCAGCTCTGGCATATGCCATTAGCATGTCGGCACACTCCTAGTTGGTAAAGATGTCAGCCATAGCAGGCAACAGTAACAACAAATCAAGAACACTTCTCACAACTCAACGAAAACAAAAAACAAAAACAATTTTTATAGATGAGGTAAACACACGAGAAGTAGTGGAGATCGACTAAATACCACGTCAGGTACAGGTAATGAAGCAGGGTACGAGGCCGAGGAAAGACGCAATAGGTTTAGCTGTGTTAGACGGAAACCCAATGGTTTGGCTGCATTTACTATCACGAATCGTTGAAACTAAATTTACTTTTTGTTGAGTTATCTAATTATTCATGCGGCATACCGTTAGAAAGGTTGTTAACTAGAGAAGTTTTTAAGTACATTTGAAAACCCCGTACTCTTTTGTGTTATTTTTTTTGCTTATTGTAAAGTTGACGTAACATGTGTTTCCATTGATTTAAAGAAATTTGTTGATCCACTGTTAATTGTTCTTCAACTGTTTGTATCAAATGTTGGTTGAATCTGGATGAAGTAACAGTAGACATAAGAATAAAATCAATTATGCGCCGTTGCGACCGTAAATAGAAAAAATATTGAAACTTAAATTTAAAAACTGGGGATTTTCTCAAAAAATAAAAAATCTTATTTCTCCTTAAAATTGAGGCAAAATGTAAATTAATTAGGCGTTGTAAATAGCCAGTAGCCTCAGCCAACCGCCATTTCCGTATGGCTACTCACCCTCCATACATATACATAAAAGAAACATGTCAGTGACAGTTTTCAAATAATTTTTAGAGACGACTCACCAAAAGGGAATGCTGTATCTCAGTCTACTTTCAATTTTGTAAAGTAACTGCTTAAGACTCTGCTTCTCCCTACGTTCTAACTAATTGTTCTTCTAATATGGGAAACCTTTGCCGATTGAGTAATCAATTGCTTTATGTGACTGGTAAAATCCAATTTGTGATCAGTGGTTAGTCTAAAAAACTTAATACTATCTGTGTTGTGTATCAAGTCACTGTTTTCATTTATTGAATCAGAAGAGCACTTAAAACTTGAGGTTTTGTCTTATTTACATTAAAAAGAAATAATTGCTATCACACCATTTTTTGATTGCTATGATTTTTGTTTTAATTCCTGTTTATTGTCTAGTATTGTCAACAAAAACTATAAATTTGCCATTTATGTTTAAGTTAATTAAATCGATGATATACATTAACAATAGAGTGGAACCCAGTACCAATGATTGAGGTACCTTCATCAATATTTTCCTTTTTATTTTATTACTTGATTGTTCGTTAATTCGCAATTTAGCCATTTTTGCACAAAATTCATCACTTTCAAATATATGACTGAATATTTTTTATTTATATGAGCGCTTGGTCAGATCTATAATAAAACACATGTAAGACACAAAATAAATAAAAATGAAAATGTTGCTCACTGGGCTTACAATAAAAACAAAAGTTGAAACAACTATAATGAGACTTTTTTAATGTGGGGGTAATGGTTCAACACTTATTTTTATACATGTTATCGGTCTCCATGAGTTTTACTATAGTTTAAAGTGACCATGTGCTCAAGATACTAAGATCGAAAATGTTTGAATCATGTACAAAAATTCCAGTATTGCGAACTTCGGGCTTTTGAAGAACAATCATCAATGAAATGAAACGAAAAATGTTGATGATACTCGTAGTTTAAAATATACTAAACGACATAGAAAATGCAACAACGATTAGGAGTGGTCTAATTTTGAGCATAATTTTGCAAGTTTTAGGTCTACTGATAAATCGAAAGTGATTAAGATTTTAACTCGAAATTTCGCAAAACAGCCAAGATATCCCACCTTAAAATTAATAATGTGTTGAAGCTCCTCTGTTTGATATACATTCGTTAAGTCGTCGCGGCATTGATTGGATTGGGTGATTGATGTCCTTGGTGAATTGTATACCAGGCCATCTGAATTCAGCATCATCTCATTACAGTAGCTTCTTATCGGTTCACCCGATTAACGATTTCTCTGACACAAAAAACGTAACCCCATTATCCGATCCCTCTCAAACTCGGAAAAGTTGAATGAAATTAGCGAGCCTTCGAACTCTAGGCATGATAATGCAATGAAACAACAATGAAACAAATGGAACCAACATAGAAAAATCACTGAATATTAAATAAGCATTTTCATATTGTTCGGGTCCTGACATGACAATAAAAGCCTTTACAAAAAAGTACGGCTCGGAATACCTTGAACATTTTATCAAAATTCAATAAATAATTCTGGGCATTGCATTTTATATGTCACTTAGTATGCATATGTTCTGAAATATTTAAATTTAAAAATTTCATAGAAGCGATTAACATGAAATTGGAGTTATTGTGAGGTCCTGATCTTTTGAAGTATTATTAATTTACAGAATTCGTGGTCATACATAGGTTGTTCTGCCTTTTAAACGTAATGTATCTTCAATTGTTTTTTAGATCCAACGTTGCAGCAGATCGAACAAAAAATGAACATGATGAAATCAGTGAATGTGAACATTGATATGACCGATATCGATTTCAATGGAGATTGGTTGACCTCTCAGTACAAAGCAATAGAACGCATGAAGAGTAAAGCTCAACTGAATGTTCTCCAGCTCAGGGTTAGTAATTGATCCCTGTCTGGGCTTTAAAATTCAAAACGGCTGTGACGTAACGTGACTGTGATACATTTATTTGTATATATATATATTTACACACTCTGACTACTTTGCAGTTGATTTATCAAAAAATAATTTATCTAGGTAAGTATAGTAGTAGGCCCGGATTACGTTGAAATCTCCGAGGATAAGATCTAGTCCAGGAATTTGCCACGGTTCTTTAAGACTTAGCTAGTCTTAAACAAGCGATAGTATGCTAACCGCCCATCACTTAGCTAGACTAAGGGCTAGATATTCGTGCATCGACCCCGCCCTTAGCCTAGTTTGGGTGTTAGCAGTCGCTAGGTGACCACTTCCCTGGACAAATAGACATATAATGACCTCTGCAAGGCATGGTGAGAGATACGATTGTGGGCAGGTTGAAAGTCTTATAGCGGGATCAAGACTCTAAAACAAGTTATGTACATATGTCAATATTTAAGGAGGGGATTTTTGGGTCTAATATAAGAAGTAAACTTCATATCAATGCTTGTCCTAAGATCTTTTGAGATAAAAAGTGGGAAAGTTTTTAAAAATGAATTATTTATTATTATCTGTAAATACCACTCCAGATATTTATATTTAGAAATTTTTTATATGCACTCGATGACATTGGAAGTGTTTCACCCAGAAAAAAATAATTTCTTCAACTTGTTTTTTTGGTAACATAATTTCTATATTTAAAGCATGCTGTGGTAACAATGTCAACGTTTTATCTTTTTTTTTGTTTGGCTTTGTTAAAATCTCTTAGTTTTTGTGAAGGAAACAGTTTCTGAGAGCTGCGTAGTACAGACGTCCAAATTATCACCATTATCACTTTGACAGCGGTAGAATTATTGCCTATGGAGATGTTGGTTTGCCCTATCGCGTCGTGTGTGGATAGAAGGTAGAGGAACACGAAGAAGGCTAACTGGGCCACCGAGGCGTACCAAAGAACGTTAAGATGGGTGCTTCAGACAGCTAGCCCTACGAGACCGTTTTGCTACTATGCGTCAAATTGCTGAGCAATGGTGTAGAGAAGAAGGTAGACCTGTTAGTATGCATACACTCTACCGCCGCATTCAAGCCTTTGGGCTTTTTTCATATCGTCAACGGTAAGTGCTTCCTCTGACTGCGGACCCCTGTTGTCAACGTTTGAACTGGAGCAGAGCACGGCAACATTGAGAGGCAGAATGGTATAATGTCATCTTCAGCGACGAATCGCGATTGTCTAGATACGCACGATAGTCGTAGAAGGGTAAGACGCCGCCGTGGAAAACGGCGTGATATTGGATTTGCTGTTGAGAGGCATGTTCACAGGACTGGTGGAGTAATGGTTTGGGGGCCTACTGCCTATGGTAGCATATCACACCTTATCTTTGTTCAAGGCAATAGGACTGCTGTGCGTTATGTTGATGATGTTCTAGAAACCACTTTACTGCCAAATCTAGAGGGCCGTCCACACGTCCTTTTTCAGACATTGCTCGTCGAACATGTGTGGGATATGAATGGGTGGAGGCTATCCACTTTGCACTGCCTCTGTAACAGTTTATACATGAAGTTCGAGTTGCTTGGAATGAGGTGCCACAATCAGACATCTATCATCTCATTTTGTCGATGCTTAGACGTATACAGGAGTGTATTCAGCTGCAGGGTCGCCCAACACAATATTATTTTTTTTATCTTATTATCAATAAAATTTCGTGAGAATGTTATCGTTTCATTCTTGATGTAAGCCTACCTCACTGCCAAAAAATCATGTTGAAGAAATTATTTTTTCTGGGTGTAACACTTCTGTCACTGAATATATGTACTATGTATCAAGAGGTATTTTTCGTACGCTTTTAATTCGCTTAAAAAAGTAAAACCCGTTTCGCCGCATGGTCATATAAATATCATTAATATGAAAATATGACAGTTTCGCTATTCAGAGAAATATCTTAATTTTCAGGTGAGAACTGTGCGTCCGTCTACCGAAACTCAAGATACCAAATTTAATACAGATTTCAATTTATTTGGCGTACCACTGACTTTCTATATTGAAAACTTCACCTGTTCATAAAATGAACCCGAAAATCGTCCCCTTAAATATTTTTAATAAGAGATCTAAATCTTGCCCGTTATTGGCCAAACAATGATATAAGCGATGTTCAAACTCCTGACGGATATTTTCAAAAACATGTTGAGGGACATCATGGCATCGATATATGGCTATTAACAAAACCATTTAGATAAAATGTGGATTCATCACTGAAGCAGATATTCTTTACATGAATGGTATTATCATTAATCGCTGCAGTCATTTGTTCACAACGCCTATCGAAATCATGTTCAGTTAACTCTTGCAATACTGTCATTTTGAAATTTATGAAGCTTAGTAACTGTGCGTACAGAGCCTAATAAAATGCTAGCCGCAGCAACAATTTTGCGCAAAACTTCAAGTTGAGCGACTTCATCCAAAACTCTCCGATGATCACGTTTTTTATTTGCAACAGATCCAGTGTGACGGCAGTTTGCCGAGCACATTGATTTTGGGCACCGTAGATTCGAATCATTTCCAATCTTTCGGCAAGTGTGTAAACCATTTTGGAAGTAAAATTTGAATCAATAAATTAATTTTCACTATCCCAAGATTGTCACAAAGGTAACTGACAGCAAATTAAATTCCTTCTTTCCCTCAGCAACAAATAACTAAACAGGTATAACAATAAATACAGTTCGCCCAGGATATATGTGTATATGACAAGAATTTGGAAAATTCGGGTTGTTATTTGGTTGTTGCCACATCTTGCTGTTTGTGTTGGTAGTTTCCGTTTTAAATTATAAACGAATTGTAGATTTGGCAAACCCTAACGGGTAATATTTTGAACATTTATTGAAATAAAACGTGATATTTTCGTGTGTTTGAACAAATTAAGATAAAGATTTTTGTAATTTTCTCAAAAACGAATCAACTGATTTTAAGAAATCAAACGTCAAAATAAGGGACTTCGAAAGACCTTTCAAGCAAGCTATTACTCGATACCCCTTGTCATTAGAAATTTTTAAGGGAATGACCCTGGGGGGCCGAGGGTGAAGTAGTTTTTGGTTAGAAAGTTGTCTCTCTTGACAAATCTTTTGACGTGTCTCGGCGTTTTTTCTTTTAATCAGTGGTTTTCGATAAATCCGAGGTGGGACGTTTTCAAATGAACACCCTGTATATTTCTACGATTTCTATAATCCTGGTTAAAAACTTTACAAACAGAATGCGACAATAAAATAAATCTACGTGTTTTCTTCATAGATTGTATTACAGAACCAGCAAGGTAAGGAAAAAACTGAAGAAGGTTTACCTTATGGAAATTGATGATTTTTCAGTATCCTAAATTCACTATCGAACTGCATGGTTGCCACACTTATATTTCCGATATACTAAGGGAAACCTCATCTTTGCTCTAAACTGTTTCATATACATGGTAGAAGATATTTGTATAAATATGTCTATTAAAATGAAAAATCTGTATGTTGTCACTTTGTATACATTTATTGGTAAAAATACATAAATGATCTGTATGTCTTCACGTACAAATAACATAATATATATATATATAATTAAAGCATATATAACAAGTAATTCAATAAAGTTTTACATAGTCAAAGCTTAGTTACTATTTTCATCTTTCGGCAGCAAAAGTCCGGTATGAAATTTCTTCATCTCCTCCTCTGTGACATCTGCGAACTGGTTGATGCCCATTTGCCAGGTCACTTCCCCAGCTTCATATTTCTTGTTGTGTTCCTCGATCGTTTTCAAAGTGTTTTGGAAGATCTTGAAGCGCCTTTGCTCCTCTTCAGGGCTGTCATACTTTTTGCCATGAGTCGCCTGAAATCAAAATGGGTATTAAAACATTTTATAAAAGCTTCGAGGGACATGGACAGTTTCCCTGTGTTGAACAGTTTCAAAACGTTGGCATGTGAACTCAACCTTAAACCCTATTTCAGGAGTATCCATCACGTTTTGACGTCTACTAAGGTGAACAGCTGATCAGCAAGTGACATTTTTGTATTTCTAACATTGGGTGTAAATCTAGTAAAACTTGCTTGCAGCGGATTTTTGTATGCAAATGAACTTTTCTGAATAAAAGAGTTCTTAGAAAGTACAAAATGAATCTGTAGTCTACCAAAAACCATAACAAAATACGGCTTGCCTACCTGGCGTTGACGGAACCGTCAGAATTATACGTAATTTGTCCATATGTCCATAGCTTGAATATGTATTTTATATAAGTTATGCATATATTTGACGAGATCAAAGTTCTTCCTTGTGTCGCCTTTGTAGCCAACAGTATTGTCCTTACTTAGAAAATACTTTCATTACTGTGGGGTGATCCATAATTACGTATTGACCCAAACATTTTTCAAATATAAAGACCTACATTTTATTGCAGATTCGGATATTCCCTCCTAACGAAGAAACTTGATATAATGTCTGTAAAGTGTTGTTTTCAAATTTTTGAGATACTGGGCGATCTATCGAAAGTACACTCAGCTTGGAAAACTTGCATCCCCACAGGTATTTATGGCTAGAAAACTGAACTTTTGGTCAGAAAAATTTTATGATCCCATATGTTCTCTATATCTACTTACTTTTTCTATCTTTGGGTTAGTTCATACAGGGTGCTCAAGATCGCAAAATGAACGATTTCTTAAAATTTTCAAATCGAACTCCTGTATATTTTTACACTTTTTGACTCCCCTGTTCACATACTTTACAACTTCATGGCATAAGTTTAGGTAGATTTAATTTATAATAAAAATATGAATGAATTCTATTTTGATAGGAATTGCAATATTTTTCATTCAGGTTGGTATCCGAATTACAAAAAGGTTAACTGTAACTCGAAACCCATTCGTACAAACTCCCAAAAATTTTATATCGAAAAACGTTGTCGAAAAGAGTCAAAAAGTGTGAAAATATACAGAGTGTTTGTTCCATTTGGACATTTTGAAAAATCGTTCATTTTGCGTTCTTGTCCACCCAGTAAAGTATATCGAAAAAATTGAAACAGTAAGTGGATAGGGCGAAAATTTGAGATCATAAAAAATTCAGTAGTCTGGCCATAACAGTTGCGGATGTGAGAGTTGTCAAAGTTGTGGGTAGTAACAGAGTTATCGACTGAGCCCACATTAAAAACTCACCCCATATGTTTAGATTTCAGTTAATTGTACGACGTTCGCCCACCACTGATGCCTTTTTCGAGTAAAACCCGCATCTGTGACAATACATTGTTTTTTTTTGTCGGACAACGGAGTCCCATGTACCCTATTTTCGTCTCGGAAAAAACAATCCTTCGCAAATGCATTATCCTGTCTTTCCACTATTATTCAGTCAAATCAAAGAAATATTTTATGGTGCACGACAGGTTACTTTTTTTGGAGTCAAGGTGTAGGAATGCTCATCACTGATTTTTGGTAATCGATTATAATTGCTTCAGATTTGTACTTTAATTCCTGGAAAAGTCAAAATTTTTATGAAAAAAAATGTTTCCTAGATTTCAGAACCACTTAATGCAATAGCGCAACAGCTTAAGACTCATTCATGCACATACATAATTATCGCGCTCATCTCGTATGCACGCCACGGGCTCTTATGAGTAACGCGACGGGCGTAGCGCACGCCGATAAAATAGCAACGATTATTTAATGTCCCTATAGTTGGTAGAACAAAGGTTTCATTATTACAAATTAAGTGCTCAATTAGAGCTTAATTAATGCCCAAAAGAAAAATTTAATGCTTTCCTACTTCTCAAAAAAATAAATGTTACCACTAAAAAGTTAGCAGAACACTGTGCATTAAATGATTAATAATGAAGATTCTATAGTAAGATAAGTAAGTGCTCTATAGAGCTGGGAAAAAATTGTTTAATTTCTTTCTGTATATATATTGTTATACATTCGAATTAAATAATTATCCAGTCGATTTTAGGGACATGATAATTTATTTGGTCCGCTTATTCTGGTGATGTGTATGATTCTGGAGCCAGCTTTTGGAGCTACTTTCACAAGCATTTGATTGAGAATAGATGACAAATATTATTCAGACTATTGTAGTGTGGTAATAATTTTTTTTCATAACATTTTTTCAGAACCTTTGTTCAAATATCTGAATTAAATTTTCTAGAAAATGATTGGTCTGACAAAAATACCTGAATGTGTATTTTTTACATTATACGAGTTATAGTAGCTGGGGGTTTCATAGTGATGCCATGTTACCAGCCTCCCTAGACAAACTAACTTATTAAAATATATGTTAGCCAAAAATTTTGCCATCTGTCACCATGCTTGTCTAAAGTTGCTGGCAAAACTGAACTGTCTCAGCAAGAATGTGATAATGAAATCAAGAGGTGACATGAGATGTGACTCAGAGAGTGTATAGCTAATCCAGCTAATATTGCTTTTAGAAAAGATCATAATACTTATCACTTACTACACTGCTATAAACTATAATGCTGGGATAAAACCCTATGGACTCAAACATGAATATACCTTGAAATTCATCCATTGAGTAAATTCTAGATAATTCCTTGAAACTGCCGTTTAATGAAACTTCAAGCTGGAATACATATGAACAAAAACATGAATTAAGTACCTTGAAGTTGGTCCACTGCTCCTCTGCAGTTAGTGCTGCCATCGTAACCACAACTAGGGATAGAAGTATTACTACTGATTTTGAAAACATGATGTATACTTTATCTGAAGTGGAAATGATAAATAGTTAACCGATGATTCACTGGAGTGATTGACGCTCAATTTATGGTTTTTTATTACAGATTTGCACGGTTTATATATCGTTCTGTAGCCTTGAAAGATTAGCAACTTATCACTCCTCTATTTGCGTAGTATAATTTATATTTACTTAATATGAGATTACTTTATTAATGCAAATTATTTGTTCTAGATGCTAACCTTGTTGGGATGGTATTTTTGGTTACAACCTAGCTTTGGATCACTTTATTTGTTTATTTTTATTTTAAAATTCTTCCTTTGTACATAACCTAAAACTGTCAAAGTCAGTCTCATCCAACCCACAAATCTGTCATTTCATTTTTGCCCGTACAGCGTTGTCGTTTCTCGTTTCATGCAGAATTGTTTACTGCCTTGCAGCTGGTTATAAGATACAAACCATCTGCAAGCTGGAGTTCGTAGGAATTTACAGATGTATTCAGACAAGCGGTCGCATAGCTTAGACTGCATTATACCTTAAATTGTTGATTTTTTGGTCAACGCGTCATATATTACATTTTATTATTTTAAAATAGTCCCATTAAATGAAAAACTTGACTTATGGCAACTGATTTTACTGCTATCTCCACGGGATTTCGGCCGCACGAAGATAGAATGTTGATGAGTTATAAATTCCCAATACTGTAAAATACTATTACGACTCACTGGTACGATCAGTTATTTGATATCTTGCATAAAATGGCAGAGCATGGGTAACGCTGACGTTGACACGAAAAAGATGAAATTAGAAATATCCCAGCCTTTCTGAAGGAGAGAAAAGACTATGAGAATCAAGGAGGCCATAAACGCGCCCTACAACTGTAAGAACGGCTGACGATACGATCTTTATCCTAAAGGTGGCTACAGACACAACTGCACGCACGCACAAGTAGATGAGTATGCACATGTATCCTGTATCTCTCAGAAGAGTTCGAAGTAGACCCCATCACCCACGTCACAACACTAAAACACCAAAGCACCACTGAGAGACAATCGAGAACGTTATAGTGAACACCACTATTAAAAAAATAGCTTAACTGAATAGAGCTCTGCACGGAGCTGTCTACGACTGGACATTTCGCTGCGTCGACGGTTGCCGAGAGACTGAAGCGTGTGAGTGCTGTACCTCGCTACTTTGATACAGTACGGCCGGGTAGTATGGAATGTCTACGCGTTCACAGCTCCGTGCAGAGCTCTATTCCGTTTAGCTACTCCTTTTTAGTAGTGTTCACTATAGGGTTCTCGATTGTGTCCCAGTGGTGCTTTAGTGCTGTGACGTGGCTGTCAAGTATCTCCAAAGTGGAAATTAGGTCTACTTCCTATTCTTCTGAGGAAAGCAGAATATCTGTGTAGGAAACTAGGTGAGCCTTGCATACTCATCACTTGTGTGTTAGGGTTGACATCCTATGTTTTTTAAATAAATGAGAATTTTAATAACGTTGTATAGTAGACGACACCGATATTGTATCCGTTTACATTTTTTGCCGATAGTCATAAAACGGCTATAAAACCTAGAACCGGAGCCATGGAGACAGAGACGGAACTGAAAACTTTCAAACATGTTCTCTTGCAAGTCTGGATGAGATGAGAGATGACTGAATCAAGTTGTTGTATTAACGTTGATTGCTATATTGTAATTAATTATCTAAACATTAGTTGTCATACTATTAACCAAAATATACTTATGTATATGATGGTAGCGATGTCAAAGATGTAAAGTTATTGACATAATTTACTGTGTTGAAAAGCCTTTTTCCAGAAACACGCACTTCAGGATCATTCACCTGAATACATATTTCACGTCTTCATAGCGCAGTCACATTATGTGAACTTGTTGCTATGACAGTATCGAAATAGTGTGATTTTTCATTTAGCTTCAAACCATTTATATAGAACTATTAGAGCGTTTTAGGTTATTGAAATGACCCTCGTATAAACCGTTACTTCAATGCTACTTTTTTTAGGTTAATAACTGTGGCATGCTAGTGATTTTCGATTGTACAAATGAAGCCAGAATTGTGGAACGACTTAATTTTTCTTCACCTGATATAATTAATCTTAGCAGTGACGGTTAAGGTTTTCTAGGGGTTTTCCTCGCCCACGTGCGAATGCAGTCACTAAAAAAACATATTTCCCTGATAAAGAGTAGAGAATCGTGCTTCTCCTATTAATGATCATGTAATCTTAGATCAAATAGTTAATAAATATATTTGTATAATAAAACATTGTTCTTTTCCAATTGTTGGAAGAAGTATTTTATCCTATAAAACTGGGCAGTTATAAATTGTTCAGAGCTTTTTTTTAGTTTCTTCTAGCAAAATAGCAGAGGTAGCAAAATTGTCCCATGAGCTGGCAATGCCGCAATCTAGGTGACAAGATCGTATGTCTATCCCGGGGTAACGACGGTTAATTTAGTTTTAGTACGTCTAAGCGGCAGTTTTCCAATTTTCATTTGTATTTTTCGAGCGGTGTACAACTATTTCGAGAAAAATTTCGCTGCGGTTAGTCTTCTAGAGTCTAGTAGAGTGTATTTTAATAGTTGTCTTGCGTGGCTATGATATCTTTACTCGGGCTTATTTTTCTGCAGCTATCGTAGTAGTGTTTTATCTTGTAGTAATACCGATCTCCAAACTTCAAAAACACCTAGATAATAAGTGAAATTGAAGGAAACGTCGAAAGGAGCAATAATAGCCACTTTGTTTATGATCTAGCAGCATCGGACGATGGAACGGAACCACAAAATTTCAGGAAAGGTGACCTGTAAAGCACAATAACAATTGACAGATATCAAGCACTGTTTGTGACTTCTGTCGTTGCTCTGAAAAATTTGTCGTGAAAAATAAATACAATCGAAAATCGTTGAAAAAGGTACCTCAGTTGTATTTATTTCCTGTTAAAACGCATTAAAATCTGTTATTTTTCAGATTAACGGGGTAAACCAGCCAGACGTAGGTTGAGATGTGAAGTACAGCATATAATGGTTTGAGGTTACATTTATATAAAAAAACAGTCTTTCAACGTGCGTACTGTAACGCCAGAAGCCAAAACACAACCGTACAGGAGACTTAACATCAAAATATGTCCGAATCTGAGACTAGTAAACCAGAGAACATCATCAAACCATCCACTTTGCAACCTCCCATTATCATGAAGATAGATGGTCCTGCTGAAGAGCAAGATAAAGATCCCATAGAGGATAACGAGAAAAATAACTGCTTAGCAAACAAAAAGGAGGAATTCAAGATGTGTTCACCTCTATTTAGTAATACCTCAAGGAGTACAACTAATCCATTTGCTACTGCACAAAGTAAAAGCAACAGTAAAAGCATATTAAAAATGCCACAGTTGAATGTGAATTCAAGTAGCTCTTCTAGTAAGCCTTTTGCTTTGAAACCCAGTCAACTCAGTTCTATGACTTCTAAGTTGAATAGTGATAAGAGTAATAATGAAAAAATCGGAAATGGAGATAAACAAACAAATCAGGTAATTTAAAGTAATTATGAAAATGAAAAGTTGGTACTATGATACACAAGATTCCCTTCACAACAAAAGTAAAGATTGGCACTGTTAGTACTCTTGTTGGTTTCAATAACAAAATATGTAATTCAAGTTTATATAATGCATAGCAGGACCTAAAGGTTTATCAAATGTCAAAAATGCAATTGTATTTTGACAGTATGTTTTCAAGGACAAATAGTTATGCATGATTCTATATACTATTCGTCATTTGTTTGTCTGGGTGGTCCATAGGACTTTTGCCCATTAGTCACTGTCTAATCTACGTTGGTCGAATCTGTCAGTACTGGTTGCCTAGAAACCAGACAATGTCAAGGAAAAAGAGAAAGGGAAAGAGAAGAAAAATTGAGAAGAACAAAGAAAAACAGAAGTTTTTAGTTTAAGAGGAGACACCTAGGCTTTTTGACTTGGTAGACGGATTAATTTTGAGGTGAACTAAACAAATTTTTGATTCAATTTTGTTAGAGTGAAATTTTAAGTGTACTAAAGGTTCGCACTAATTTTTGATTACAGTGCGAGCCATGGACTTGAATGTTTATGAACTTGCTCCACTGTGTGGTCCAATGAGTTATGCAACAGAGGGTTGCTGCGTGATTCGCCTTGACTATAACGTTGCTGCACCTGAAGTTTGACATAATCCCTCAAGGAATGTCAAGGTCTCTGTGTAGTGTCTCGTTTGAGACATACCATGGAGCACTGCAAATTGTTCGCAAAGTTCTACTTTACAGTACTTGAAGAACTTTGCATATGTATCTTGGCAAGAAAACACCAATCCACACATGCATAATGGCCGGTCTAATAATGATTTTATATAGGCGAACTTTGTTTATCAAAGTCAATTTGGAGGATCCACATAACAAACGATATAGTTGCCGAAACCCAATTTAGAATTTTGTTTTCAAGGCTGCTGTATGTTTCTGCTAGGTCATTTCTTTATCTAGGGTGACACCAAGGTACTTGGCAGAATTTGTCCATGGTACACGATTGCCGTCTACAGAAACCTCTGCTGGGGGGCCGCGACGTTTTTTGGTACAATAAATAGCCTGCGTTTTCGAATGTTTAATTTTAATCAGCCACCGTTCCGCCCACTCTAGTACTTCTTCCACTGCAATCTGCAACCCATTGTGAACCAGATGACCAGTACACGACTGGGCGACAAGTGCAGTGTCGTCCGCATAGAGGTAGACTTCACAGTTGCTGGGGCAAGAGACATGGATAAAAAGCGAATAAAGGATTGGTCCTAGGACCGAACCCTGAGGAACACCGGCCCGTACTGGCCGTGTTGTTGACAAAACATTGTTAATTTTGATCCGAAACTTCCTTCCTTCAAGAAAGGATTTCAGTAATCTTAGAAGCCAAAAAGGAAAACCCTTTTGGATTAGTTTATGAAGGAGGCTCGCGTGCCACACCTTGTCAAAGCTTTTGAGACATCCAGAAGCAAGATGCCAGTACACTTGCTGAGGGTGAACCCTCTGGTTTCATGTTCCACCAGCCTGTAGCTCGGTGCTATGCTCGGACCGAAAACCGAATTGAACGTCAGGAATCACAGGGTGATTTGAAGAAAAATTCTTTGGAATCATGATGACCTCATCAGTCTTCCACCCAGTAGGGAAGTACTGGATTATGAGCGTCGCATTGATTATTGTCACCAAATATGTCAGGGCTTTCGGCGAGAGCAGCTTCAACGCCTTGTTGGTGATTTGATCCTCCCCAGGTGCTTTACGCATCTTGAGGTCTTTAATATGACTTAGGAGCTCCGCTAGTGTGCAATGTGGAAACTCGGAGGGTTCCGCTAATGTGCTATGTGGAGCGTCAGACGAATCTTCTGAAGAAGAGTCATCTGAAGAGGATTCAGTGCCTCCGCTAACGCCGTTGCCCCTAAAACATCTCCTGACGGATCGTACGATGTGCTGTTCCTCGTTGAGGTTATTACCAAGATCACAGTTGGGAGAGAACTGTTTTTCCATGGCATCAGCGAAAACCTCGACCTTATCCTCCGTTCTGAAGACTATGCCGTCAGGTCCGTGGATGTGCGGGAGTTGTTGTCGCTTTCCGTTTCTGAGTGACTTTGCGACCCTCCAGAGAGGAATACTTGAATCAAGCATTCCCGCCAGAAACTCGCTCCATTGCTCGTTGCGGAGTTCGTGCAGTGCGTTTCTCACTTCATGGACAAGATTTGTAGCCCTACGAATGTCATCAGGATGACGAGACCTTTTTGCCTGTTTAATAGCGGCTCTTTTGTCAGAAATAATTGTCCGCAGGCAGAAAAGGTCTGTCGTATCGTTGTACAGGAAGTACAGCTGCACACTGTAGAGCTGCTTGAATGAAACTTGTCCACTCCACTTGAGCGGCATCTATTCCAGACTCATAATCTATCATCGGGATATTGGGAAACTCTATAAGGTGCAACTCGTATAGTTCCCAATCAATGCGTTTTCTTGGAGGAGCTTCCTCCTCAGAAGTTTGCTCATTGCCCATGTCCAAGACAACAGGTAGATGGTCACTAGAGATATCATACAAGATTCGAGAAGAGATATTGTATCTACAGATTTTAGACATCGCGAAGTCGAGGACATCTGGTGCCTGAAGATGGTTGAATGGATGGTGTGTTGGCTCTTCAGTGCTATGCATAAGGTACCCATTTCGCATCACATGGTTGTACAATTGAATCCCACTAGTGGAATTCAACCTAGAATTCCATGCTCAATGTTTGCAGTTGAAGTCCCCTGCCACAATAAGCGGACCCTAGTAGTCCAAAAGGACCTCCAGATCCGTCTCTTGTAGCCTGGCCCCAAACCTGAAATACACCGATGTGATCTTCAACGAGACACCTCCCGCCATATTGACCACCACAGAAGCTGCTTCGATTCTATGCATCTCCACCATTAGTGCTTCTATAATAGTCTATACCGCGCTTAATCAACACTGCTAAACCGCCACCTCGACCGTTCAATCTGTCACCTCGGATAACATCGTAATTCAGGAGAGCTAAACGATCTGCTGGATTAAGCAACGTTTCCTGGAGCAAGGCCAGATCTATACCTTCATCCAAAAGAGCTTGATGAAATTTCCGTGTTTTGGGAATATCCCTCATGCCCAAACAATTTCGAAAAAGAATTTTGATGAATGCAGGCTGTCTACTATTGTACCTAGACATTTACAGGAAATATCGCCTGCAACGCCTGGGTAGCACTAATCAGTGGGTCTATTATTTGTTGTAGGTACCTTAGCGCGGTTGCCAGGTCCACATTTTGAGTGCTCAAGGGAGATTGGGCAGAGGGGGCAGGCAAAGTTGCCTCCTTAGCTGCATCCGTGTATGATAGATTGCGCCTTTGCGCTATAACTTGCAAGTTCCTCCTTGGAGTGAACTTGCAAGTCCGGCTATTTGCGGGATGTCCCTCTCCACAGTTTGCGCACTTGCGCTCTTCCTCTTCTGTGAGGGGGCACAAATGCGGGAGGGGAGGTGCGTAAGAGAGTGGATTCAGTATTTGGAAGAGGTGGAAACTCCTCGGCAGTCTTGTTGCTTCTCCTCCTTCTAGATTTTGCGTTTATAAATCCGTCGGTGTGTGTGTCATCGTCTGTGGATGTATATTGATCGTCGGTAATGGTCCGAAGCGGTCTCTTTAGGCTGTTGGTCCGTTCTTTGGGGGATTCTTTCGAACTTATTAAAAGAGTTACCTGGGCGGTTAGGCTGTCAGTTTTAGCCGTCTGGTCCTTGATTGTCTGGATGAGTTCTTGGATTTGCCACGTCTAGGCGTCTATAATCATCATCAGTTTCTCGTTGGTTTTCTGCTCCGATGTCATCTGCGTCAATGGTCCCATGTTTTCAGTTTTTGAACGTGATATGCCGCCGCTCAGCTCCTTCCCTATTATCAGTGGTACTGCTTCCTCTTTGAACCCTCCTGGGTCAACTTCCATATTAAAATAGCTTTTCTTTCCAACAAACTCGTAAGAACCTTTAAGCTCGAAAATGTGACAATGTTGACAAAACCCTTCTTACAGGGCGTTTTTATGCATGATTCTATTATAATATCTAAGTCAACTTACTACCCTAAAAACCTCTAATTTGATAGGTTCTAATTTGAGGTTTCTAGAGTTTGAAGTACGGTGGAGCAGTAGTTGCATACCTGCATCCATTTATAAGTGTTATGAATTGACTGAATAAATTCTTTAGGACCACACTATGAAAAAAGGGGATTTGTCTGTTCTATTTTTTTTAGAATGATCTATTTCTAGTGCAAAACTGATGTTGCTCAAATCTGTTGTATCTAATAGCTTTTGACAAACATTTAAATTCCTAATATAATTTTGTAGATCTTGAACCTGGAAAGCTTAAGAATTAATAAGAGAGGAAATGATTTGTTATTTATAAATTGCAATTTTTAATGAGTGCTCAACCTAGTCTGTACACAGATAACGATTCAGCTTTTATCAACATCCTGTGATGATAAAAGATTACCAAAAGTGATATTTTGAATAGATATATGAAAGCAGACCTGTTTAAATTTGCATAAACAGATTGATTGTTTTTCTAAATAGAACTTACATATATATAAATTAATGCAATATTCCAAAAAACTACTATGACAAAAATATAAACCTTTTACTTGGTAGAGATTTTTTGAAAAGATGCGATTTCCGGGATGCTGGCAACTCTCACTTTTTTCTATCCATCTCATTTTTACTCACTTTTCATTGAAAACATTAAATTTGCTCACTATTATCGCTCTTGCTGTTCATATTGTAGTTTATGAACACCCCACGAAATTAAATAGTTTTTAATGTTGATGAATATGATTAAATTAATTTTATAAAAATTAACTATGACAGAGTTGTTCATGTACAGGGTTCTCCCCAAGCTGAGCCAATATGTATTACATGAGAAATTACTAGGATTAGTTGAAATCTATGTTGAATTTTGAAAGTTGCTAAAAGCACTCTATATAACATATATGCATTGGGGATTTCAAATTCGGAAACGGTAAGCATTACAGTACAAAGTCGTTTATGGAGGCAAAGTTGCGTATTTAAGTAACTAATAAAATTTTACTTAGATAGTTTTACATTTCAGAGTATTACATTGAACCACATTCATTTTCTCCTGCCTTAATTTGAGCTGGGATTTTGATATAAATATAAATTGCATTAAGAGTGGCACTTTTTACAAGCCTTGTACAAGTAACTGTTACTATGTTAGTCCACTAGTACACATGTGCAGGACAAATCCTAAAACTGAATTTTGAACCATTTAACCATAACCAATTGATCGGAAACTTTGTAAGCCGAGCTGGTTCGTGTAATTATACCGAATGAAATAACTGCTGCCATTTTGAATCAAATATGGAGTATGCTACATAATGGCGAATTATCATTTCCATACTATATCATATGGGTATCAAATGAAAGAGCTTGATGGGAGAAACACAGTAAACAATGTCTCGTCATTTCAAATTAAATATGTCGACCGCCGCAAGATAGCGTTTATAATTTCTATAGTTACCTCTATGATATGGTTATCGACTGAAAGAGCTCGATGAGAGAGATACAGTAGGCAACGTGACCTGACTCTAGATCCAATATGGCGGCCGCGGCAAAATATCCATTTATAATTTCCATAGTTACCCTCAAATGAAAGGAATTGATGAAAGAAACATAATAAGCAAAGTGGCGTCATTCTAATCCAAAATGGCGGACGTTTAATATGACAATTGGCAATGCAAGATTATTATGACATGGAGATGACCTGATGATGAAGCCAGGAAGTGGCCATGGGAACCCAGCAAATAGAACCACGCTTGATTTCTAATGATGAGCACCCTATAATAACTGTATCAAATATCAATTTTTTAACATTAGATAGTTCGCTTAAATGTAGGTTCAATCAATTGGGCAAAAATACTTTATAGATACAAGTACGTCTCCGTATTTACAAGAACTTGTTATATTTTGTATATTTCTTTTATTCATCGGATGCATTTGACGTTGAAATGTGCATACATATAAATAATTATTTTTGGTACGTCAGTAAAACAGCAACAAAGACCTAGTTATTCTCGTTTTCAGACATTCTTATTTATATTATTTCAGAAAATTAACTCACTTTTTTATGTGTAAACTCACTATTTTCTCACTAGCCTTGGAACAGGTGTCTTTATCAAGCTTTTAGAAAGGGAAAACCGAAATACTAGGTCCTGTGTAAAAAATTAAAAGATATCGTGATCCGTTTTTGAAACTGTCTGAAATTTAGTGGACAAATATGCCAACAGACTTTGAACTTTCATCTATGAAGCCACCACATTTTAAAACAGCAGGCTGAGCCCCCCAAGGCTACTGCTATTTATTATTTCTCTCTGTTGAAAACAATGGAAAATAATAACCAATAGTTTGTGGTTTCTATTACTTTTTGAGAATTGTATGTATCAACCTTTCCTTTATGGAAAAGTTGCTCCCTTGGTCATTCTTTTGATAGATGGCATGCAGTTTCACAGAAATCAATTAGTCTCCTTTCTAAAGACGAAGTTAATTTTGTAATGGAACACTTAACGATTAGAAACGCCCATGAATATACTTTGAAGAAAATGGATGTATTCGCAAACTCACTTGATAAACGTCGAAAGCTCCCAGAATCCTGGAAAAGAAATTCAAGTATGCAATGTCTAAATATACAACTACAATGTTGACAGCCTGTGTCATTCTGTCTGAATTATTTTCAAAAAGTGAATCAAAACAACTGTCCTTTGTTACACAATCCATGTGTGTGTGTGGAAGAGCAAGTAGAAGCCGTGTTAAGGATATGCTTGCACAGTCCGCAATATCACTAGGGAAGTTGAGTCTACAAGTGGTACAGTTGATACAGTTTGTTTACTTCTATCGTATGAGATTTTGACGTAAACATTTTCTGTCAGTTTGGCTATATTGCACGCTAGCTTCCTCGATAGATGCTCAATCATGAGTGAACCATCAAACCAAGGGCGGTTCCTTAAGAGATGTCTAGCCACCATGAGCAAACCCCCAAACGGCTGCCTCCTGAATCTACCATCTCACACTCTGTTATTTCTAGGTGAATGGAGACGGCCCAAAATTTGTCCCATTGGTAGTAGAAGCGAAAACTAAACCAGTTGCTTCCCAGCCCTCAGCGTCGAACCCAAAAAAACCAACAATGGCTAGTAGTTCTTTTGTTTTTGGTGAAAATCTACAAGCAAGGGCCGTAGCAGGCGAAGGAAAAACTACAGATGCGCCATCTACTAGTACAACTGCCAATGGTACTTCAGAAATGCTGTTCAGCAGCGTTGTCAAAAAGGACGTGAAGCCTGATAGTACATCTAAAGATAAAGAAGGAAAAACGTTGAGTGAGTCTGCTAGGGAATATGAAGAATCTAGATCTAACAAAAGGAAATATGAAGAGGTAGAAGTATTCACAGGTGAAGAAAATGAGCGCAACATACTGAACATATCTTGTAAGCTGTTTTCATTTGACAATGTGACAAGCAACTGGCAAGAACGAGGTAGAGGCACCCTTAGGCTGAACGACTTTGACGTCGATTCTGAGATAGGGAGTCGTATAGTGTTTAGAACATCAGGCTGCTTGCGGGTCATTTTGAACACGAAAATATGGGCTGAGATGACAGTTGACAAGGCGAGTGAGAAGAGTATACGACTTACGGCTTTAGATGGTAATGGAGATATAAAGGTGTTCCTTGTAATGGCTAGTAATGACGACGCGGGTAAACTATTTCACAATTTGCAAACGCGTTTGGAGAGAGAAATCAATGCTCAGAAACGTAAGAAAGGTGAGAATATGGAGGAAAATGAAGCGGAAGAGAACTGATACCTTCAGTCGACGTTTTTTTAAGAATATAGTTTATATACTACTTAAATTACAAGTATTTATTAAGATCTAAAATCGTACATTGATTTAAATGCTTTTTATATTTATAGAAATATAACTTGTGAAATGAAAAATTGTAATAAATAAATGTATAGAAGAGATGTATAGTCAGGTTTTGACGATGTGGATTAGTATCACTGGATGGTTGAATAAATGTGGGGTTATTCTCTTTGCTTTTTTGAATTAGTGTCATTTTTTATTTTCACTTTTTACATTTTTTCAGGATAGAAATGTCAATATTAACAGTCCAATCAGGTTAACCAGCCAATAACGGACGTATAGAAAGCTGTATAGACGGATTTTGCAACGGAATTTATGTTGTCGCGGCTCGTGATCTAGAGATATAAAAAAATTATTGGGTATTTGAAAAAAAAAATGGTAACTAGAACTTTGCAGAAACTGAAACAGAGCATTTTTTAATAATTTCAAGAATATAGTTCCATTGTAAAACTCACTCGTCTATACATTTGTTCTTCTTGAATACTATACCTAGGTAAACATTAGAGTTCAGGGTATCCATCATTACTTCTAAAAACGCTAAGCTCTACTGTTATATACTGATTATTTGAGACTTTGAATTTGCAGTTTTTTCAGTCAAATATAATAATTTCATACTATGCTTGGCAATGTATTTATTTATGCATTTCCACAAAAATCATTTGGAAGGTAGGGTAGTATATAGCAAAGGTGAAAGCCTTCACAATATTTTCAGAATATTTACAAAACAGCCTGGACATAGGAAGCATTTTTTTATGGTTTTGTTTTCCTGCATTTTCAGTTTGTTGAATATTTTACATTAATGACTTTCTTTGTATGAATAATAAATTACATTTCATCAAATGACTTTATTTTATTTCCATCAAAAATACATTGAATGCGATACTGATACAAAATTTCATTCCAAGTATATAAAGGGTGTTCAGATAGGGACGCTCGATGTTTGAACGGCGCGCGCGCCCAAACCGGTGGGGATACAGCTGTCAAATTTTGTGAGGTTATTAAGTTAGTCTTGACATTTAATCATGGAGCAGTACACGATTCAACAACGCGTGGAAATTGTGAAAATTTATCATCAAAACAGATGTTCGGTTCGTGAAACGTTCCGCGCATTGCGTCCAATTTATGGTGCGCATGGCCGTCCTGCTGAGTCCACTATTCGACGTCTGCTCAATAAATTTGAGAGAACTGGCTCAGCGGCAGACCAAACAACACCCGTACGGCAACGAACAGTAAGAACAATCGAGAATATTGCTGCTGTGCGAGAGAGCGTGCGTCAAGACCCGAATCAGTCATTGCGGCGACATGCACAAGAACTTGCCCTTAAAAAGACCTCAACATGGACAATTATGCGTCGAGACTTGAAATTGCACGCGTACAAAATTCAATTGACGCAAGAATTGAAACCGCAAGACCATGGACAGCGCCGTACATTAGCCGCATGGGCTCTAGAGCAGTTGCAAGTCGACCCTACATTTGCACGAAAAATCATCTTCAGCGACGAGGCGCATTTCTGGATGAATGGGTATGTCAATAAACAGAATTGCCGTATATGGGCTGACCAAAATCCTGAAGTGACTTGCTCAATTGCTATGCATCCTGCTAAAGTGACTGTATGGTGCGGTTTCTGGGCTGGCGGCGTAATCGGTCCATATTTTTTTGAGGACGCTATGGGCAACGCGCTTACGGTCAATGGAGATCGGTATCGCGCCATGATTAATGATTTCCTGTGGCCTCAACTGGACGATATGGATCTAACAGACATCTGGTTCCAGCAGGACGGCGCTACGTGCCACACCGCACGCGCAACGCTGGATTTACTGCATGAAAAGTTCAACGGTTTCATTATTTCGCGCGGCGGCGATGTGCACTGGCCACCAAGATCGTGCGATATAACGCCTTTAGACTTTTTCCTGTGGGGCTACGTGAAGTCTTAAGTGTATGCGGATAAGCCACAAACAATTGCAGCATTAAGGGCCAACATCATTCGCGTCCTCGGACAGGTAGACGCTGAAATGTGCGGAAAAGTGCTCGAAAATTGGACCATGCGAATGCACGCTGTACATCGCAGTCGCGGTGGCCATTTAAACGATATAATCTTCCATACATAATGTCGTCGAATGCTATTTACGATCAATATAGACTTTTAGTGCTGACTTAATTTTTTTTCCTTTTTTTCCATTTTAACTTTTGAGCGTCCTTATCTGAACACCCTTTACAAGCCACAGATGCCTTCAAAATCAACGAATTCAGTCTAGAATTTGTTTGTCTCCTAATTATCATAGTATGTAGTGAGGATCAAAGTGCACTTGACATAAGTGAATTTTTTGACAGTAGTTGTCATTAACCCTTTAACGCGCAGTAAACCGTAAATCGGGCTTTTGCCTCCCTAATGGACCCTTTCACTCAGGAAAATCACAAAAAAAATATCCAGCGAAAAAGTTCTGTTTTAGGGGCGGGAAAATAGTATCCCACTGCCCATGTAGGGAAACATGGGGACGCCAGATTGCGGACAACAAGTGGGGGCGCGCGCAATTCAAATTATAATAAGTGGGGAGATACTGTCCCTCTGTGATTTAAGAGACTGGGAAAATAGTACCCCAAAGGTCGTTAAAGGGTTAAATTAGTATGTTTTTTTTAAAGAGTGGTGTTATACGATTTCAAGTCATAGTACTTCTTACTTAATTTGCAACGAACATGACAAGGCCGATGAAGATGGCTGTTTCCATTATTATTATGTAGATACAATGCAGTCAATCTGGTTGACATTGGTAGGCAAATAAGTCAAAAGTAAAAGCTGAAACTACGCCATTTTGGAAACGAGCAAAGCAATGTAAACATATCGGCTTGGCTTCCTAATCTGTTAGAATTCGTTGCTCAAAATCAACAAGCATGCCAGCGCATTGTATACATCATGTATAATACCTGTACATCATTGCATATGCGTATACAATGTATACAATAGCAAATCATAGTTCAACTACTTGCATACAGTGCTGGCAAAAGTCCCTTTCCCCTTTATACTTCCAAGTGTACGAGGAAGAGAGAGGGGGGAGAAGAGGACACTACTTGTGTAGAAGGAGTGCGCCACACACCGCGTTGCCTGGCACAACCGTGATGAAGACCACATGACATAGCTGTAACTTGCTGTTTTCTACGCCCAAATACACATTTCTGTCGAATCTGTTTAGGATCAATTCCGGATCGATCCTAATGATTCTCCGATTTTAGTTAGAACTGAAAGTTCAGGTTCGCTACAAATTTTGGACAACTTTTTTTTGCAGACTCTTCACTCTACGGAATATGTCTTTCCATTTTTAAACAAAATGAATCCCAGTTCATCGATTGCTTTGTTCTTGATGGGGCGTCCAACCATATTTTTTTAAGTTGCTGGTTCACTGTGCACCAACTTTCTGACGTTTACGAATAAACATAACCTCACTTATGCTATTCTATACATTGTCTTCATCATTGTATACATTGTATTCATTGTACACGTAATGCATGCATTGTATACGCATTGTATACATCAAGAAGTAGACAATTAATGTATACGCGTAAACGCCCATCACTGTCCATCGCTTAAATTCATCCAGCGGCAATATCATTGAAATTCGGACGTCTAGAGCGATGCCATTCCATACATAATGGGTCTTTAAAAAAAAAAATTGTATATCCTTAATTACTTCGCACATAGGTTTAAGTCTACATTTTATTCTAATTTGACCTGACTATGATATAATTGATGAATTCTGGGAACGTTCCCGGAAGAAATAAACTGGTAGACTGACGTGCAACTTTAAATCCCATTGGTAGGTATGAAATACTCCACATTCAATTGTTTCTCAACGGTTTCGACGCGATCTTCATTCCTACTGTACGGTTTTCCGGAAACTGCGTTTTTTTTTTGATTTTATAGGATAAACGTGATCGTACTCAACTAAATGTGTAAGTGAGGTGTGCATTAAGAGCTCGCGAGTGGTTTTGAAGTTAGAGGCGGCCATTCCGTACAAGATCGGTGGTGATATTAAAAAAAAACTCTGGTCCATGGGGACAAACTGGGAGGACAACATGTACAAAACGGTGGGAATCGGTAAGTTCAGATTTAGAACTTTTATTTTCTGCAGGTACCTTATAGTTTTGCACTGGAAATTCTAAATTTTAAGTCTTTTTACTAAAATACAGGTACCTACCACTCTAACTATATACGAGCCCCTTCCCACTTCAGTTGGCCCACTTCAAGATTTGTACCAAAATATGCCATTATAAAGTAAACATGGCGAAACTATTTACTTCTAAAACAATTTATTTTCTCAAAAACATTTTAGATACACTGTAGTCGTAAAAAATACATATTTGAAATCACTTAGACCTATAACTAATAGAACATCTGAACAAATAAACAATGTGCGAATAAATGCGCGAAGTTAACAAAGCAACAATTGAAAGATTACCATTGGGTAACATCACCTTTATTTTTTATTACGGCTGAAATTCTTTGGGGCATAGTGTTAACCAAGTTTTGCCAAAAAATTTGGTGTAAAACAATCCCTTTTTTCTTGAAGCTTTTGTCTCAGTTCGCTGATTGTATGAGCAGGATGTTGTCGTAGAACATCTCGTGGCACAAAGTTTCAATAGATGACAGATCTGGACTGCTAGAAAGCCATTTCAAAAGTGGTACATTATCTTCTTCCATCCATTTTATAGCCTTTTTTGAGGTATGGCACGCTGCATCAGCTTGCTGAAACACAAAATCTTGGCCGGATGTCAAATATTCTTCCATCACTGGTAAAAGCGATTCTTCTAAAATTACCAAATATTTGTTTGTATCCACATTTCAACCAATAAAATGAAGTTTTCCTACTCCTTTTGATGACATAAGTACTGCCCCAGACCATAATGGATGCTAGAAATTTCACTTTTCTCTGCTGTGGTACTTCAAGCCCAAAGGATCTACAAAGCAAGTGGCTATAACCGGCCGCGTGGTTGTGGTTAGACGTCTCCTTGAAAATTCGAGGTCGTATAGCCATTTTATACTACAATGTGTAGGTTGGCTCTTGTTGTAGACTTCGTGTGTCGTTTTTTTCCCCTCCAACTTCGTTTCCTCAGGTTACACCCGTATCCAGATGTGTGGGCATATGTATCTACTGTTGTAGTTCCATATGTGCATTCATTTCGGGCCTGATGAAGCCAACCAGCAGAAATACGTATCGCTCGGGTTACCTATCCTATTTTCTGCTCGAATCCACTTTCCTCCTTTTTGCGGATTTTGCCCATTATTTTCCTACTTGTTGTTATATTATACCTTTTTCCGCATGATCATATTCTCTCTCTCTCTCTCTCTCTCTATATATATATATATATACAGGGTGACTTCGAAGTTGAGTCATTTATTTTAACAGTGTGTAGATCTGATCAAAAGAAATGTTTTTTTCCTTTACCATTTTTCTGGTAAAATTAAAGTAACAAAGTTATAGCCCTTTGGAAGTTTGAGTACCGCCCTGTCTCAATAATATCATGTGTTGGTGTTTGGCAACAACGGTTCATCGCATCGGAAACAAAAAAGCGAAAGAATTTGGAACGATGTTTTTACGATTACAATTCAGTTCAGTTATACATACAGTCAGTTTCAGTCGCGTGTGAATAGTGAAATAAAAAATGGCACATGTTTATGCGGATCGGTTTCCCAATCGAGTGCAACCAACCCCTCGTGCCTTTGTTAATGTAGTACAACGGGCTCGTGAATCAGGTGACTTAAGACCTCACAGGGGACCTCACGATCAAATACAGGTCCGCACTGAAATACTTGTCGGGAGGATACTTTATAAAACAAGGTAAAAATT